ATTAAAGAAAAGTCAGCCAGTTATGATGTTGATCAAATAGATACCACTGCTTATCGTAGCATCGTTTGTGCTTTGCAATAGTTAACCTTCACAAGACCCAACATCATTCATGCAGTTAATCGGGTATGTCAGCATTTTAACAATTCAACTTTAGTTCATATGAAGGCAGTTAAACGAATCCAACGGTATCTTAAAGGAACCCAACATTTTAGGCTACGTTATCTTTCTCAAAGTTCTTCATCTTTGTAAAGTTTTAACGATGCCGATTGGGCTGGATGTTTAACTACAAGGAGAAGTATTACGGGGTTTTGTGTCTTCTTTGGTGCAAACTATGTTTTATGATGTCAAAGAAGCAACCGACGGTCGCTCGATCTAGTTCGGAGGCCGAATATCGGGCTATGGTCTCCACTATCGCCGAAATCATTTGATTAACATTTTTGCTCAGAGACATTGGTATAGCACTTCATCAACCTCCTCAGTTATTTTGTGACAATATTAGTGCACTTCATATATTCGTCAATCCAATGTTTCATGCTTGATCTAAACATATCGAGCTTGACTATCATTTTGTTCGTGAAAAGGTTGTTATGGGTACTCTTATTACACGATACATCCCTTCATCATTTCAACCGGCGGATATTTTTACAAAACCGTTGCCCAAACAAGCGTTCGCTTTCCTTCGCAACAAGTTGGGAGTCCACATTCATTCCCTTCCCATCTTGAGGGGGTGTGTTAAGGAAAACTATCCCTGTAATTATAGCGATGAATGTACATAGTTTGTTAAAGAAACAAATTCCTCAAATTGTGGCAGTATCAAAGACGATCGTCAAAGGTCAATCACAACTATTACACGTTAAATCACAGCTATTACTCTTTCTCATTATGCAAAATTTCCATGTAATTAGTGTGCACAAAAGGTGTATATATCCTGTACGATTGATTAATGAAAATATCGCTTCCCTTACCAAATTATTCAATATATATATATATATATATATATATATATATTATATATTATGTAATATGTATTTATAAATCCTTTTTAACTGATACACATATATATAATTGTGCATATACGTCCTATACCCATACACTTACTATATAAATTTATATTTTATGTTATACCATATTTATATATAATAATGCCATAATAATGCTACTATATATATATTATTTCCAAATATATACATAACTCCCAATCTTAATCCTTATAAGATTTTGACTTTATTAGTCATACATACATACATATATATATATATATATATATATACTTATGTAAATTAAATATCTCCATATAAATATATAGTTATATAATTTACATTATATATATATAATCATACATTCATAGGAAATAAACCATCCTAAAACCTTTAAGGCTTTCCTCTCTAGCCCAAAACCAATTCCTTTGGTCCAATCATTTCAACTAAGTCCATTAAAAATAAATAAATAAATAAAATAACTAAATATTCATAACACATACACAAACAAGAATCACAGTAACCAAATATTTCATGCAAACAAAATAAACATGCTAACAAATCAATTAACAATCAAGCATATACACACACACAATCATCATACCAATAAATCAATTAAAACAAATAAACAAATAATCAAATTTAAAACAAATAAAACCATTAAATCCAATTAAAGGCAATTAATTTAATTAAATAATTCCTAAAAAATATAGGTGTATTACAATCTGGGTGAGCAACTCGGGTTCGTAGGGTGGTTTGACCACAACGAGGGCGTTGCAAATTCGAGTGAGGGAGAATGTTATAAGAGGAACTTGTCCTACATCAAATCCGGATAGATAAGTGAATGAGTATTTATGGGCTGGGTATTAACTCATCTAACAATTTAAGCTTTTGGGTCGGATCGTGAAGCACCCAACCCGTTACAGTAAACTTCTTAATTTATAAGTTTAATTCTAATAATTTTTTTTGTTTAATTCTAAACCACACCTGCACTAATTCTTTATTTTATATCCATTTATAATTAACAAGATACTTCAAGGCTTCTCCCGATCAAACTCCATAAATTCATTCCTTTTCCGTCTCCTTAAACAACACACATGCACTAATTCTTTACTCCATGTCCATTTCTAATTAACAACATACTTCGAGGTTTCTCCTGATCAAATCCCATAAAATCTCATTATTCGAATAAGACGCATTTTGAAATTCAAAATGGTAAGCTTCTTATTTGGGGTTTCTAATATATGATTTCAAATGTAATTATAATATCTTTTTTGTTTTCTTGAATTATAAACAACACCTATGCACTCATTATTTACTCAATGTTCGTTCTAATTAACATTGCCATTGATACATAATATCTGACTTCCACGGGGTTCTCCTGATCAAACCCCAGATCCTTAATATCAAATACGGGCTTCGCGAATTGAGCTTGGCAAAATCCTAAAGAATGAGTACACAAGATGTTGAGAACCTAAAAATGGAGTGTACATTGTCATGTTCAAGTATGTATAGGCATCTTATCAACCTTCCAAAACTTTATACATAAATACTTTATATATTTACAACCCTATGAAGCTCTTCACTATTCTATAATCTTTTAGCCACGCTACAAATATCTAATGACTCTCTAATATTATAGAATCTTACAGCTCTACATACAATCTACAATTCTCTACCAATCTTTTGAAAACTTTAGAACTCCATTCTCCTCATGCCATGTAGAGCTTTACTTATCACCGGTGTGTTGCTTGTGTGGCGTAACCTCTCTGTAAGTTGGCGGGGTGTAACATTCTCTCGCACTCAATTCTTATGATGCCCTCGTTATAGTCTCGGCGCTTGTTTTCCAAATTCGTCAAGAAACCCTTTCCACTTAACGAGGTACTCCTACAATATGTCTCATCCACATACAAGTTGTCAATGGTGATTGTTACTCACAACGTCTCTCGGCCTCTCACAAGTCACAACCTTCACCTTCGATACATAGTTTGGCTACCTCTTCAAACATCCTTATGACATTGACCTTGTTATCGTTCACATTCTTTTCCACTGGTAAGGCATACCGCTATTCTACTTGTGTTGTCAAGGTGAAGGTCATCCGTGTGCCCTGTATGTCTCCCATGGACCCCCTCACTTGTTCTCCAACATACTCCATGAGTACCCGACACAACCGTTAAATCACTCATTGACTCTGCATCGCCCCAATCAAACCAAATCATAACCTTTCTCACCACCCAACACAACTGCTAAATCACTAGCTGCCACCTCTTCCCTCGACCTCACCATACCCTGACCTTCCCCAAGCCATAACCCTAATATATCGATCCTTTTCATTCCTTCTTATCCCTCCAAAACTCACCAAAAATCCCATTTGAATGTTTCTCTTTTGTTTACCATTTGACCAGTAATAGAAACGTATTTGAGATGAAGATGACACTGATTTTTGTGAGGGTAATTTAGTCTTTTTAAAAGGAGAGAGCGAATCTTATTAGTTATTGACAAAGGATCCTTGTTGGACAGTTTTTGCCCACTTACTCAACCTGCACATTTATTGTGAAAAGAAAAGATAAACTTGTCCATATATATATATTTTTATTTTTTAGAGTAGTGTTATGAATTAGAGTAGTGTTAAAGATAAACTTACTTAACAGTTTTGATTGGTTATATTTGTCAATAAAAAATAAAAAAACAAGGAGATGAAGAGTCTCAATTTCTTATATTTTTTACATTCATAACCAATCAATTCCACTAATTGTTTAGCCGAAGTGACAAGCATATAATCACAAGACTTCCAAATTTATAGTTGGTACATGAAAAACAGGATATAGTAATTAAGAAGGAACATAACTATGACTTACTTTTGAACCTAATTAAATAAAGTAATAGTTATATAATGTGACTTCTATTTTTCAGTATAAGTCACAGTATATATTGACATTAGAACAACTAATAATCTTAAGTAATTTTAGTTACAGTACTAGTCATTTTCTAAGTTTGGACTCGGCTCGTATAGATTTGTGAACATGAGTTCGACTAGGCTCGTTTATATTTTGTGAATATAAGTTCATATATGGTTAGATATGTTCGTGAAATGTAGGCTCATTACATGACTCATTTATATTTGTTTCTATTTTTTTAATTAGAATTCTTTTATCTTTGGAAGTACAAAATAAAAATTCAATGATTCAGTAAATGAGATTAATAGATTTTGAATATGAATTCAATTTGTTTTCTTAAACGAGTTGAGCCGGAACTTTTTAAACCACAACGAGCCGTTACGATTTCAAGCAGAGTTCGAACTAAGTATGTCTATAAACAAATAAGTTGAGCTCAAGTTTTTATTGGAATTCTTTATCTTTGGAAGTATAAAATAAAAATCCAATGATTTAGTAAATGAGTTTAATAAATTTTGAATATAAATTCAATTTGTTTTCTTAAACGAGTTGAGCAGGAGATTTTGAAATCATAACTAGCCGTTATGATTTCAAACAAAATTCAAACTAAGCCTATAAACAAACCAGTTGAATTCAAACAACTTAAAATTCTGTCAGTCTAAGTTCGCTTGTAATCTTAAAATATATCATTAGACTACTATATTTGACACCACGTATTGTTTTAAAGTGTTCAATTGCTTCTCTCCCTTCCAATAAACAAATCTTCAAGGGCAATACCCTTAGCAATTTTAGACTGCAAGGGAAAACATTGGGTTTTATTCTTTAGATAACTTGGACAAAATTTTCCAATACCTCATTCGAGTGCCTGTAACTCTCTTTCCCCAGGTACGGAATGAGATTTTCTCATCCAACATAACGTTTTATCAACAAAATTTCTTTTTCTTTATAGACAAAAACATGCTATATAAAGTTTAGAATATCAACATTTTTTAATTATTGGATATATCTTTTTTCCAATTCAGCCAATAAACACACGGCACTTCTTATTCAACTCTCTCTTTCCGGCTCTCACTAACATGAAGCAGTATTTAAGTTCAAAAAATGCCCTCAACAATTGAATTATTACCCATTTGTGACCCACACGTCGTCGTCCGACGTGGCTCTGCAAGTCGGTTGGTGATCTGATTCTGAGCTTATCGAGTCATGTAGCTACCATTTTACGTGCAAGAGAGAACCCGAAAAAGAAAAAAAAATACAAATGTATTAACAAATTAGTCCCCTTCGAACATCAGACAACAACAACAAACAGAGTTTAGAGTCAGAAAATATACGGAATTTCACCGTTTTTATAAGCTTCCTCTAAACTGCCTGTCTTTCCTCCCACCGAAAGCGAAGTCTCAATTATAAGTTAATATCATTCCTCATATTCGACTTTCATTTTCAGGTAATACTATATTGATTGCATATACACATGTATACAGATATACACATGTGTGTATATATATGTGAGCTTTGATTAGTATGGCTTGAATTGGAGCCTAGCTGTGTGGTTTGGCGTTCTAGGGTTTTGGAATTCGAGGACTGTGTCGGTCACTGATATCACATGGCATTGTTTCGCAAATTGTTTTTCCGGAAGCCACCTGATGGACTTTTGGAGATCTGCGAGAGAGTTTACGGTACGTTCTCTGTTCATTTCTTCCTGTTACTTTTGGTACGAGAATGTGTCTCTAAGTCATTATTTGAAGCTTAGCTATGGAATTGCCTCACAATTTACTATGTTCTCCTTCACAAGTTATATTACAATAGCAATTTCATTGAAGTTGGAGTTATTAGTTATTTTTGAATTACAAATAGCTGTAATTTCATTTAGTAATTAATCTTGAATTATAAACTATACTTGTACAAGGAGTAGGGGGGAAAAAGAAAAGGAAATTATAAGCGGGGAACTTTAGCAATGTTGATTATAAGAGATGGTATACTTTATAACTCCGAATAAGATGGTTAAAATGTATTGTTTTTAAAAACATGTTCCACCCTCTTGGAATGGCGAAAATGAAAGCAAATCAGGGAAAGATTTCGCCGGTACTTTTTGAGAAAATTTCTTGAAAGGATCTCCCAGCAAGCATGTAAAATTGCTTATTTTGTGTTATCAAGAACTCTGGGTCCACTGTTTTGCATCTTAAAAATGAAAACTGAAAATGAAAGAGAGTTCTGAAATCAACACCAGATAAGTGTTGAAAGACTGTATTCGTAATGCAACTCACTCTAAAATGCAATATGTTGGCAAATTTTGGATGTAACTCTCAGCAACTTATTTGGTGATGGTACACTTCTTAGTTTGGACCTTTGGTTTTAATTTGGATTGATTTGGGAGATGGTAGATACTGTCTTGGCATTAAGTTGCAACTTGTAAGTCATGTGTTTCACATTATTGGCAATGACTAAATCATTCGTTCGATTTTCATTACTGAATTTTGCACATCTGGTGTGCATGTAGTATTTGATTGCTGTTTCACTACCGATGCTTGGGAAGAAGAAGATTACAAAGTCTATGTAGGAGGCATAATGGGTCAACTTCGAGATCACTACCCCGACGCTTCAATCTTGGTGTTCAATTTTCGTGAGGAAGAGACACACAGCCAGATTGCTAATGTTTTGTCTGAGTATGATATGACCGTAATGGATTATCCCCGGCATTACGAGGGTTGCCCACTGCTTTCAATGGAAGTGCTCCACCATTTTCTAAGATCAAGTGAAAGCTGGATGTCACTTGGGCAGCAAAATGTTCTTTTAATGCACTGTGAGCGAGGTGGTTGGCCGGTTTTGGCTTTCATGTTGGCTGCACTTTTGATTTATAGAAAGCTTTACACCGGGGAACAAAAGACCTTAGACATGGTTTACAAGCAGGCTCCTCGCGAACTTTTGCACTTGTTGTCACCTCTGAATCCTCTCCCTTCTCAAATAAGGTATTTACAGTATGTATCAAGGAGAAATGTGGTCTCTGAATGGCCTCCTTTAGTTAGGGCTCTCACCTTGGACTGCATCATTATCCGATTAATTCCTAATTTTGATGGGGAGGGGGGTTGCCGCCCAATATTTCGGATATATGGACAGGATCCTTCTCTTGTTAACGATCAAACTCCTAAAGTTTTGTATTCAACTCCAAAAAGGGGCAAGACTGTCCGGCACTACAAGCAGGTAAACATTTAATGTTCTTAAATTTTTTGTACTCCTATATTTTTCTTATTTAGAATCTTCATTGTTCTTGTTGGACTAAAAAAGATGATATTTTTGGCCTCATATACCTTGTTTGAGAAAACTAACTTCATTGCATAATGCATATCTCAGTGTTCATTCCATTTGGAAATCCTCATTTTTGTTCCTGGAGTGGAAATCATTGTTTGTTCACCAACTTTTTCATCTTCCCACTATTGGGAGCACTGATGGTTGCTTAGTGTCATGTGACCAATTGGTGACTATGGTCGACATAGTCACAAGTGTTTTCCTTATTCAATGATCTTGCCTGCGAATTTATGGGAATATTTGATGTAGTAATTGAGGTCTGAAGCTTGATATATATATATATTCTGTGTTTGTACTTCTTAGAAGAAAAAAATTTTATTTGGTATTTTGTTCCATAATATGTCAAAGCTTCAAAACTAGCCTCAAGGTATTGTTTAGGTCACTTGCTGTTTAGCGTTGGATACTCTGCACCTCATGATGCAGCTGCATTTAGAATAACCCGTGTTATGTTATTTTGTCGCATACTTGTCCACCAATACTCTCAACCTATTTACTTCATATTATCTTGATTGCAACTTTTTTCATTTTGAGGGGGCAATAGTTTTGCTAGGAAAGGACAGTGAAGAAAGGGATTAGGTATAGTCACTGCCCATGCTCTTCAACAGGGTGAATTTTCAATAAAAATGAATTCATAAAATATATTCCCAAACAATCCACTTTATCTTTCCTTCTTAGAGCCCCTCAACGTAGTATTACACGTGCTCCATTCAATTGTCACTTGGGATATCTATTGCTCGCAGCTTTAGCAGTGAGTGGGGACAAGTTTAACTGTTTAACATGGGTTTCAAGCTTTAGATAAAAATCTGGTTGGTTGAAAACCAGGGCAACTTGAACCTGATATATTAATATTGATGCCTGACCAGAAATGCAAGACAAAAGGGTACTTAAGGTGGAGTCTGCTTATTTATCAAAAAAATAAAAATAAAAAAAATGGTGGAGTCTGCTGGCTCTGAGTTGAATCTTTGTACAGCTAAATGAGATGAGAGATTGCATTTTTATATTATTATTTTCTTCATGAAAATAGATTTTATGGAAAGGCAATTTTTCTTTTTTCTTCTATGTTATTCCAAAAGCTTGTTGCTTATGTCCCATTTTATTCAATTTAAATTTGGCCATCTAAAAAATATACCGTTGTCTGGCAGGCAGAAAGTGAACTAGTTAAGATTGATATCAACTGCTGTATTCAAGGTGATGTTGTAATCGAGTGTATTAGCTTGAATGATGACATGGAGCGGGAGGAGATGATGTTCCGATTCATGTTCAACACAGCCTTTATTAGGTCAAATATTTTAATGCTTAATCGCGATGAAATTGACATATTGTGGGAGGCTAAGGATCAATTTCCAAAGGAGTACAGAGCGGAGGTATGCTCCTGTCACATTTGATTGGACATAACTCATTTTATTATTCTTTTACCTCCTAACAAGAAGCATTTGCTTCTCTTTCAAATTATCTTTTGGATGAAGGTTCTTTTCTCAGACATGGATGCTGCTGCTTCCATAGTTCCTACGGAATTGTCTTTTCTTGGGGAGGAAGGCCTTCCAGTGGAGGCATTTTCTAAAGTTCAAGAGATCTTTAGCAATGTAGATTGGTTACTTCCAAAGACAGATGCTGCACTAACTGTGCTCCAACAAATAGCTGCATCAAATATTGCTCAAGAGAAGTTGGACTTTTCCCATCAGAGTGTGGATACTAACAATTTATTGCATGAATTAAGTCCTGAAAAGTTCCAGGAGAAACAGAGGCCTACAGAGCTGGAAAATAATATTAAGCATTCATCACACTTGGTTTCGGAGGATCAGTCGGTGCCCTCGGCTGAACTGTCACCAAATGCAGATTTGAACCAAGAGAAGGCTAATCCAGAATATGTGGAACCCGGAAGTGTGCTAATTTCGCCTCCAACACTACTGCCACCACTTCCATCACGATCTACATTGATTGCTTGCCCTACAGAAGCATTTGCTTCTCCTCCACCTTCACCAACACTACCACTTAATCATCCTTCGACCTCAAAACCAGTGGATTCACTTACAAGACAGCCTGACAGCTTTCTGGAAGGAGGCCAGCCTTTATTGGCTTCTTCCTCATCTGCAACTGAAACTTTATCTTCAGGTACCTGTTCCATCAATTTTTTGTCCAGTCCTTCTTCCCAAACTACAGCCCTTGCAATTGCTTCACCAACTGCAGCTCTTCCATTGCTTCCTTCAACGGAGAAACCAGCTATTGGAACTAGACCTCCTCCACCCCCACCTTCACCTCCTTCAACTCCGGCCTTGAAAGATTCGGGTATTCTCACTGGGCGACTTTCAGACCCAACTCCTCCTCCTACAACTCTGCCTTTAAAGGACAATAAAATTATTAGAACTGGACCTCCTCCACCCCCCCCACCACCTCCTCCAGTTTCGTATTTAAGAGAGAATCCAGCCATTAGCAGTGGTCCTCCTCCACCCCCACCTCCTCCTACTCCACCTTTGGAGGAGAATTCAGATGTAAGAGCTGGAACTCCCCCACCTCCACTTCCTCCTTGGACTCCACCTTTGAAGGAGAATCCAGCCATTAGCAGTGGTCCTCCTCCCCCGCCACCTCCTCCTACTCCACCTTTGAAGAAGAATTCAGATGTAAGAGCTGGAACTCCCCCACCCCCACCTCCTCCCCCAACTCCACTTCCTCCTCGGACTCCACCTTTGAAGGAGAATCCACCCATTCGCAGTGGTCCTCCTCCACCCCCACCTCCTCCTACTCCACTTTTAAAGGAGAATTCAGATGTAAGATATGGAACTCCCCCACCCCCACCTCCTCCCCCTACTCCACTTCCTCCTCGGACTCCACCTTTGAAGGAGAACTCAGCTATCAGAACTGGCCCACCCCGACCCCCACCCCCACCCCCACCCCCTCCTTTTTCTGGCCAAGCTGCAGTGCCTACAATCTCATCTTCAGTGCCCCCGCCACCACCTCCACCTGCTCCCAGTTCTTCCTCCCAGTATCTTGACCCTGTTAAAGGGCATATAAAGGTGGATGCTTTTCCACAACAATTGCTTTCGGCAGGTAGTAATGGAGACAATAGTTTGTCTGGATCTCCATCTCATGTACCTCTGTCTCCTGCTCCTCCATCTCCTACTCCTCCTTTCAGTTATCCACCCAGCTTAAAGGGACGTTTGTCGCGTACTATAAGTTCAAGGAATAATCAATCAAAAAAACTAAAGCCATTGCATTGGTTAAAATTAACCAGAGCAGTGCAAGGAAGCTTGTGGGCAGAGGCACAAAAATCTGGTGAAGCTTCCAAGTATGTATTGCTTTGTTGGAGGAGAAATTTGATGCCTTTTGATGTATCTTTGTTCCAAATCCATTCAGTTAGATACACCTTTATCTTTTTTTATATGTGCTCACTAGGGCACCGGAGATTGATATGTCAGAACTTGAGAGTCTTTTCTCAGTAGCAGTTCCAAATTCAAATCAAGGGGGAGGCGGGAAATCAAATTCTCGTGCTTCACTTGGGCATAAATCTGAAAAAGTGCAACTGGTAAATTAAGTTTTCACCTCTATCAGTCATATTGATTTCTTATTTGATCTTTTTATTACCCCACTGGTAATTGACCCTACACCTCTCCCTTTGGTGGTGAGAGAACTCAAGCTTACAGCTGGTGGAATTTTTCGATATTTTATGTTGTCAACTTCTCTTTGCATCATAGTGTCTTGTACTCTTATTAATTGAAAGGTTTGTTGTAAATTGTTAAGAAGTTTACAGTTCTGGACATCATCAGGCTTATAACATGTTCTACTTGTTCTTTTGTTTTTTGTCAAACTTTCTTCTTTTTCTTTTTAATTATTTGTATCTTACTGCTAGCTGTGGGGTTATGTACGTCTCTTGTGCATCTGAAAAGGGTGAAGGTGTGGGTGTGCGCCTTAACGAAAATAATTTAAGAAGAAATTTTTGGGTCTCAAATCTGATTAGTAAAAATATTATCTTTAAATTACTCTGATGGCTAGTTGACAAAATCTTGTTAAAGAAGGGTCCATTATGCCGTTAAAAAATTCAGTGAAAATGTATGTGACTTTAAAATGACAAGTTGGGAAGTTGTGCGCCTAAGAATCTAGTGCATTAAATTCGTAATGTGAAACAAATCATTTGTGCTTCTCTTTTGGCTTCAACACATAAAAAGAGTAATAGCGGAACACGTGTTTTGTCTATAGAGGTAGCCACTATCATGTAATACTTGTTTAGTTGTTAATTACTCCCTCTGTCCCAAAAAAATGTCCCTTTTGGGACACAGGGAGTATCATTTTGCCAGAAGAACCTTGTTATTTGTGGGGATTTGATTTATACACTATTTAGTTCTTAAGAATATATTTTTCTTAATATTATATAATTTTTCATGAGTGTTATGCTTGGTCATGGTGTACTTTCAGCGTTTTTTAGATGCACAAATATTATTAGGTATTATCTTTCTCATTTGTCGAGTATTATGATTCTTAATTCAATTCAAGACCCTCATTATTCTTGCATTGCCTATGCCTTGCTGTCCGGTTCATTTAGGACCACCATCTGAATTGTTATTCTGTTTATTGCTGACGCGCTCTTTCTATTTTCTTGTTTGGTGGTGTAAAGTTTCTCATGAACATCAAATTCTGTACTCAGTATTTTCTTGCTTGTTGCAGATTGAACACAGGCGGGCATATAATTGTGAAATCATGCTTTCAAAGGTGAAAATACCATTACCTGACTTAATGGTAAGCTAATGGATGCTGTTTTTACCTGCAAACTGAATTTTTTACTTCCGTTTGTACTTAATCTACCTAGAAGTCAACTCTACAAAATCATTATCCGGTACTTTAGCCGGTTATACATGTTCCAACATCCAATATATCAGGGGTCATATATATGTTTTTTTTGGGGTCATAGGTCATTATATCACTCTTCCTGCGCCTCATTTCTCATTCTCTCGTCTATAATCTACGTACTCGTGTTTGCATCCCGTTATATTTCACTCCTCACTGGTGCATGCTCTATTTCTTCTTCTGTCCTTTGTATTAGGTATCACTCTAGGAGCAGCTATCTGCTACTTTGATCTTGTTATGGCAGCATTTTCTTTTCTCTTCTTCTTTCTTCTTTCTTCTTTTTTTATTTTTGTTTTTATTTTTATTTTTTATTTTTTTCCCTTTCTAGATAAGGCTTGGTTTAAAGCTGCTCTTTGTCATCAATTTTAATCATTTGTTCTTTTATGTTCTTTAATTTTATTACAATCCACATTCTTGATTTTTCATCAAAAACCTGTTAGATTACAGAATTTCTCTTTACTTATGCAAGATGTTATTTTTATCAATTGAAACTGTCGCTATCAAACAACATTCATTATTAGACCTGTTTAGTTTGTAGTCTGGTTTATTCATCAATGGTAAATGTTAAAATAGTATGCATGGTTGTGAGGTCGTGCTGTGAGTCCACTACAATTGAAATTCACCTATTTCTCCTAATTTTTTCACTTAGTGTGCACTAATTGCTAAGTCGTGCTGTGAGCCTACTACATAATGTTCACCATGCTAACCTGCTTATTCCACTCTTCTTACAGCTCCATTACACATGTTGTGTTGTATCTATTTGAAACTCCTTCATTATGTAAACCCAACATATTACAAGGGATTGGAGTACAGTCTGAATGTATATAGTAATGTAGAACTTTATCTGAGGGTGGGCCTTGGTGCAACAGTAAGGTTGCTCCATTGCGACCAGGAGGTTACTGGTTCTTAACCGAAAACAGCCTCTCCGAATGTTGAGGCAAGACTAAGTACATCTAGCCCTTTCCAGACCCGTAGTGGCTGGAGCCTCGTGCACTTTTTTTTTTCAGAACCTTATCACTTATATATTATTTTTTTGCAAGTATTTTACCATTTAACATAACTTAACAAAGTCGTTTTCCAAATGTTTGGGTTCGTCTACGAGACTGCCATTGTGTTCTATCAAGGCCATGACCTCTGTTAATCCACATGCTTCATCTTTCCTTACTATCTCACATGTTGGTTTTGGTCTTTCTTTTCCCCTAGCATTACCCTCAATGTGAACCGCTTCATTCATTGGCGCCGTTATCGTCTTCACTGCACATGGCCAAACCATCTTAATTGATTCTCTCATTTTATCTCCAATCAGTGTTACTTTAATTCTCAAGATAAGATATTTTGCTATAGTTAATCTATTGTTTAGGCTTCAGTAAATTTTATATTCTGTTTTCTTCCTTACCAATTCTCCATCATCATCCTTGCCTTCAATTCCATATGAATGAGGTTGGCCACATGAATTCCCTTTTTTCATTCTTTTCTATTACAATTCATCTCTCCAATGACATTTAACTTTTTAAAATCATTTCTAATAACTTCATCACATGTTAATTTCAGTTGCCCTCTGTCTCTTACCTTCTATGCAAATTAGTCTTCCTCTTCTCCCTTACCAATTCAATCTAAATAGTTCCAGTCCCCTTCTTCTCTTTTCATTGTATGACATGTTCCCAGTTTGCTCCTTCTGTTTTTTCTTTTAGTATAGCATAGATATTCCTGATTTTGCAGCAAGAGGTTTAATTCTAATCATTTATCGATTATGTCATCTTGTGGGACAATGACAGAGTTCAGTGCTTGCCTTGGAAGATTCGGCATTAGATGCTGATCAGGTTGACAATCTTATTAAGTTCTGTCCAACGAAAGAGGAGATGGAACTGCTCAAGGTGGGAGACATATTGTTGAATTGGTTATGACATTGGATAGCAAACATACAATGTGAATCAAGTTCATTACAGTTTCTCTAAATAATCCATAGGTGCATCAAGAAAATGCATTGTTCTTCTTTTTTGAGTAATAATAACACTAACTTTTCCGTGTTCAGGGCTACAAGGGGGAGAAGGAAAAGCTAGGAAAATGTGAACAGGTCTGTGCTATTAAATTCTTGCTTTCTTAATTTAGTATGCTTGTGGAGGTGACATTTTATGACATCGGTTCAGTTGAGGATTCCTTTTGATTTTCTCTTACAGTTCTTCTTGGAGTTGATGCAAGTACCACGAATAGAATCTAAGCTCAGAGTTTTCTCATTTAAGATCCAGTTCCGTTCCCAGGTTACAAGATAGTATCTTCATCCGTCTGCTTGCTACGAACTCAGTTTTTTTATAATACCACTTAATTGAAATATTTTTTATTTATTTTTATTTTTTGCCTTTCAGGTTTCTGATCTTAGTAGTAGCCTGAATGTAGTAAATTCGGCAGCAGAACAGGCAAGTTATCCTTCACAGCTTGATTCAATTTTCCCTCTTTAATTTAATTTAATTTTATATATTTTTTTTGTGTGGAAATGAGTATTGACTTCTCATGGATCTAGTTAATAATGTGTTTGTCCAGATCAGGAGTTCTGCCAAATTTAAAAGAGTTATGCAGACAATTCTTTCACTAGGAAATGCTTTGAACCAGGGAACTGCTAGGGGTGAGTTAATATATAATTGGCTTGGTATCTTTATGAATCCTTATGTGGTTGTCAAAATATGCACTTTTATAGGAGAGTACTGCTATATTGTGGCTTTACTAGTTGAGTGTTATGGCCCCTTAGTTGAACCTTGCACTTGACTGCCTTCCAATTGTTACTTAATTTTAGTCAGTATTTCTAACAAACACCTCCCTTTTCTTTCTCTTCCCCACGACCCCTAATGTACAGAAACAGTCCATAAGGTGTAAATTCAAGACATCCTAAATATACTTCTTAAATTTATAAAGCACTGTATTATTAGTCCTTTTGTGCAATTATTTCCAATGTAATTTTCAGCTGTCCTGTTTCTTCAATGAAGTTCTTGTGATCGCTGATACATGATCTGGACATAAGAGAGAAACAATTTTTTTTTTTTTTTTTTTCTCATCCAATTTATGGTGTCCTCTCAACTTGTGATATTGGGTTTGTCTCTTTCTTTATAATCAATTGATCCCGCCATGCTGAAACAGTACCCCGCACATTCAAAGCAACCATTGGCATTATCTTCTCTTTGGTTATGTTGTTGTCCTTGAGAATCAATTTGATAGTGATCAACCAAACAATAAACTCTTGGGCTCAAACTCTTATGACGCTTTGGAATTTTATCTTCTAAATGTTTAAAGCACCGTATTGTTAGTCCTTTTTCGCAATTATTTCCAGTGTAATTTTCAGCTGTCCTGTTTCTTTGATGAAGTTCTTGTGATTGCTGATACATGATCTGGACAAAAGAGAAAAGCACAAATTTTTTTCTCATCCGCTTTATGGTGTCCTCTCAACTCGTGATCTTGGGTTTGCCTCTATTAGTGTATAGGTGAAATTCTATTGAATTGAGTTAATAATTTTTTCATGCTCTACATTGCCTAGTGATTTCATATGCTTCCTGTCATAGCTCCTTGCCTACATTCTCTTGCTAGGGACTTCACTTGTTAGACTTGCAATATGTTGTTCCTTCCCTTTGGCACTCTTGATCTTGTCCTTATGGCTGATTTCTTCATAATGTTTCCTTCTAGGCTCTGCTGTTGGGTTCAAATTGGATAGCCTCCTCAAACTCACTGATACACGTGCCCGGAACAACAAGATGACTCTCATGCATTATCTATGTAAGGTAAAATAGGCACTTAGTGCATAATCCTTGCATGAGACTGTTCTATAATATTCAGTTATATTAATAATTTATCAAAAAAAAAAAAAAAAAGTTATATTAATAACTTAAATTCATTGAATGCTTCTGTGGTGCATAAGTAAAGGGTGCGCACATGCAAATTTTAAATTTTTTTCCTTCAAACTTCTGTAGTATACAGTTCCATGTTTGTTAGAACATAAATTACACAAGATGTAATTATGCATGCATATCGCATGCATCACTGGTGCATGAATGTAAAGGACATATGTGAGCAAATTGCATGTTTTATTTATTTATTTATTTTTCCTGTGAACTTGTTTAGCATACACTTCCACATCTATCTGATAGATCATTAAGAAACATTTATGGACCATGTGTGGACTGTGGATGAAATGTAATGTTAATGTCCAGTTTCTGCCCTTGATTATAGGAGATCATACTAGGTAATGCCTTTTACAGGGGATTAAGTTTTAATTTTCATAATCCTTAGATTCTTGTTAAAACAATATGCGAAGGGAACCTATTGGTTGAGAAATGGAACACGTGTAGTTTCTGTTTACTTGACAATTTAAGTGCCAAATACTCATTTAATGCAGCATTGAAAATTAGGTTAAAAAGAATGTGTTTGATAAAATTTGAGATGCGCTAATCATTTAATAACTAAAAATCAAATTTTGTTTGAAGGATATAGCTAAAGTAATATAATGCAAAAGTAATCACCAATCATTAGTTTAAGCCGTAGCTCCTCCACCTCCCAAAGAGAAGGTTGAGGTTTCAATCTTAAATGTGACAGTGGGTGTGTGACTAAAAGGTGCAAAAATTCAACTATGTAATTTACTTACAACTATAAATCAAATTGCATGTAAATTGAATATGGTTCTGTGGAATTTAAGTTCTCTTATATAATAATTATGTTTGATTCTAATAACTGTATATTGAAGATATTTTTATGGAGGATGCAACTGAAAGAAGAGTATCTAGACGTGTTCATTTAATTCTTAAGTTAACTTTGTACAGTTAGTAAATATATCTTTCATAAACTGAATAGATTGTTTGGTTTTTCTCAATATTGATGAACAAATAAAGTACTCTCTTACAACTTGTCTTTTAACACTTACAGCAAGATGCGTCTGTTTTGTATTATAGCATGTATCAGAAGTTTTTATAAATTGCATGTTTTCCATGCTGGTGGCTTACCACCACTTCTAGTAGTCCTCGATAAAATTTTTCTACTTCTTGGTCATTCTGTCCATTTGATTCTCAAGGTGCTTGCTGATAAACTGCCAGAACTTCTTGACTTTTCAAAAGATCTTCCAAGCTTGGAACCTGCATCAAAGGTACTATTGTTCTGAATTTGCAACGATCGTGTCAAGTCATTATAGAGTGCCTAACTGACATCTATTTTGTGGTTGCCTAATTTCTATCCAGATACAACTGAAATTCTTGGCGGAGGAAATGCAAGCCATTAGCAAAGGACTCGAGAAAGTTGTACAAGAATTATCCTTGGCCGAAAATGATGGTCCCGTGTCTCTAGAGTTCTGCAAGGTACATTATGGTTTTATGAACATTAAATAACTATATTTTAAAAAATCTGTCAATAAGAAAAGGATAGAAGTAATTAAATTTCATACCTGCGTACAGAATTTGTTTATACTTGTCTCCCATTTGTTAATATCACTGGCAACATTGCATGGATGGTTTATGATAAATGTTAGTGGTAACGTGCTTAGGCTCTCGAGCATGAGAATGTGGGCTCAAATCTCGAGTATGGTTACTCTGTGCAAATAATGCCAAAAGTTCGATTTGTATCCAGTTTGCACCTCCGAGTACCCTTGATTAACGGGCACCACACTGGGTCCTTTTTATTTTCTAACAAAAATATAATTAACTGAGCACATTCATGTGCTTATTATGTTGTAGTTGTAATAGATTTTGCTTACCCATTCTCACTTTGGTATAGAAGTTTTATCACAATAATAATTGCTTCCTTGAATATGTGAAAGCCAATATGAAAAAGACTTAATATGAAATACAGGGGTTACTAAAAATAAAGTAATTTTAGTAATTTCACCTTTCTGTTAATGGAAATTTAATGGCAAGGAGGGCGGTTCAACTTTTAGATAAGGAGGGTTATTTAACATGAAATTCAGTTCAGGGTTAGTTGCCAAAGTTTTTTGGTAAGAGGAATTTTTTTTTTTTTTGCAATTTGCCCTTCAAAATATTCACAGCCTCTGTATTCGGAGCTTTTAACATATTGGAAAAAAGAAAAAAAAAATGACCATTGTTATTTGTGAGATTGGAGAATAATTAGTTTGAAAGCAAATTTATAGGGTTTCAAAGAGAGAAAATCAAAGTGGGTGGCTTGAACAAGTTCTTAAATCAAAATGTTGACCCTTTCTTCTTACAGTTGTTGGACTAAATAAAAGAAAGAGAGATATAAGAGAAGGAAAATGACGTTGAACTCAAACAGCCAAGTGGAATCAAATGGCTAATGAGCCATTAAAGCAATCATTTTTTTTTTTTTGATAAGTAAATTATATTGAAGAACCGCTCAAACGGGGAGTGAAACCCAAGGACAAAACAAGGCCAAAAACGCCTCAAGCCTTCAAAAAGACCAAGAAAACAACCGACTCCTCTACAGATCGAAAATCCCTCCTTGAAACCCAACAAAAAAGAGTAGAAAGAATAGAGAACTTAAGCATAGAGATAGGCTTTTCCTTTCCATCGAAATATCTCCGATTTCTTTCAAGCCAAATACAACACCAAACACAAAGAGGTGTAGCCCTCCAAGCGTCCCGAATGAGAGCCCCCACTGAAAATCCTCTCCAAGCCTCAGTCAACTCTTTAGTGGAGTTAGGCATCACCCACGGGATCCCAAACAACCCAATCATCAAATCCCAACAGCCCCTAGCCATGCTGCAATGAAGCAGAAGGTGATCAACAGTCTCCTCATCTCGCAAACACAAATAACATCTATTAATCACCAACTGCTTCCTCCTCCTCAAATTATTTTGGGTTAAAATCCTACCCAAGACAGAAGTCCAAGCAAAGAAGGCCACCTTGAGGGGGGCCTTGGATCGCCAAATAGACTTCCAAGGGAAACAGTCTCCAGCGCCTACCGTAAGACACTTGAAAAAGGACCTCACCTTGAAGCGACCTTGAGGGTTGGGAATCCAAAGCCAACAATCAGAATCCCCAGCTGTGATCGTTTGATGGTACAAAAATTCCAAAAACCGGGTGACCTCCTCAATCTCCCAATCCTGGAAGTGCCTCCTAAACTGAACATCCCAAGTCAGTCTTCCGTTATCAAGATGATAATAGGATGATAACAGTCAACCACCAAGGCCTGCTTATGAGAAGCAATCCTGTAAAGCCGTGGGAAAGCGAGTGCAAGAGGAATATCCCCACACCAAAGATCCTCCCAAAATCTGATCCCTACCATACCTGATTCGAAAACGAACATGCTTGCATAAATCATCCCACCCCTTCCGAATGCCAGTCCAAACCTCCACTCCCATAGGACCACGACCCACGAGAGAACTCCACCCTACACTGCTTTCCCCAAATTTATGCACAATAACCCTCCTCCAGAGCCAACGCTTCTCCACCCCAAACCTCCAAAGCCATTTCCCAAGGAGAGCCTTGTTGAAAGGCAACAACCTCCTAGTCCGTAAGCCACCCCTCCAAATAGGATAACACTCTTGCTCCCAACGAACCAAGTGAAACTTGAACTCCTCCCCTCTTCCCCCCCACAGAAAATTGCGCTGCAATCTTTTAATCCTCTCCGCCACAGAGGAAGGAATCTGAAAGAGAGAGATGAAATAAGTGGGGAGACAAGAAAAGGTACTCTTAATCAGAGTGACCCGACCCCCCTTAGAGAGATACTGCTTCTTCCAACCCGCTAGTCTTTTCTTAAATCTATCCACAACTGGATCCTAACTCCCCACACATCTCGAAAGGGCGCCCAGGGGCAACCCTAAGTACGAAATAGGAAATGAGTCAGTGCGACAACCAAGAATCTATGCAAACCTCTCAATCTCAGGACCTCCCTAACCGGCACAAGAACACTCCTACCAACATTCACCTTTAACCCAAAAACAACTTGGAACCAGACCAAAACACATCTCAGATATCTCAACTGATCTGCATCAGCATCACAGAGCACTAAAGTATCATCAGCAAACATCAAGTAGGAAATTTCCAACTGGCTGGCAGCATCCCTGCCCACCCTAAAACCTCTCAAGAATCCCAACTCCACCGCCCTCTGAATCAATCTACTAAGGGCCTCCATCACAAAAAGGAACAAGAACGGAGAAATAGGATCCCCTTGTCTCAATCCCCTCGAACTAGAGAAAAAACCAGTCGGAGCTCCATTAACAAGAACTGAAAAACGAGCACAAGAGATGCAAAACAGAATCCATCTCCTCCACTGCTCCCCAAATCCCATCCTCTCCATCAAGTAGAGGAGGAAATTCCAGCTCACATAATCATACGCCTTCTCGATATCCAGCTTGCACAAAACACCCGGATTCCCACTACTCAATCTAGAGTTAACACATTCGCTGGCAATAAGAACTGAATCCAAAATCTGGCGACCTCCCATAAAGGCATTCTGAGAATCAGAAATGACACCATCCAAGACCTTCCTCAACCTAGAGGCCAGGATTTTAGCAATCAACTTGTAAATACATCCCACCAAGCAAATAGGGCGAAACTCCCTGACATCCAACGCCCCACCCTTTTTCGGAATGAGAACAATAAAAGTGGCATTCAAACTCTTCTCAAAAGAGCCTTGGGCACGGAAAGCATGAAAAGTGCCCATCACCTCCTCACGGACCACCTCCCATCACTCTGAAAGAAAACTCATGGAGAAACCATCTGGATCTGGAGCTTTATCCCCATTACAGCTCTTCAACGCGGACAACACTTCCTCTTCAGTAAACGGCTCCTCCAGAACAGAGCTCTTTTCACCCGATAAAGAATCAAAATGAAGCCCTGCGAGCAAAGGTCGCCAACCAGCTGATTCTGTGAACAACCTCGAGTAGAAATCTGCAATACCCTTGCAAATCTCCTCCTCCTTACACAACAACTCCCCATCCGCTCAGATTCTCCCAATATGATTGCCCTTTCTATGAGCATTAGCAAGTCTATGAAAAAATTGTGTTCTTATCCCCTTCCTTGAGCCACAAAGCTCTAGACTTTTGCCTCCACGAAATCTCCTCCAAAACAGCAATCTCAGCAAACTCCGCCTGACACTCCACCCTCCTATGTCTCAAGGAGTTCGACAAAGATCCCTGACCCTCAATTTGATCAATTTCGGCGTCAGTATTATTGTGCTTTGTTTACTGTTATAAATCACATACGTTTGATTACTATTTAAAGTCCATATTCCTGATCTCTGAAAAAATCCTATTCTTCCGCCAATCCAGATTACTGAAAACCTCTTTATTCCAAACTTTAAGATCGTCTTCAACAGACGAAGCTTACTTGTGAGAGAATGACTAGGGGAGCCACTCACACAATACCCCTCCCACTAGGATCGATCTCGCTCCATAAAACTTTCAGCGCGAAGTCACATATTCTCAAATCTGAAAGGGGATCTTCTACTACGCAACCCACCACAATCCAACATCAACGGAACATGATCAGATAAAGGGCGAGCCAAAGTGGCCTCAACAACATCCGACATTAAAGCAATCATTGATTATGAAACAGCTAGAAGAGTCATTATAGAGTGCAAATAAGAAGAATTTTTTACATAATGTTTCTTATTGGGACATTTAAGTGGGTATTGTCTTTGTTCTTCAATAATATGTATGCTTCAGGCCGTAACGTCTACACAAAAATAACATTATATGGCTACAGAATAGGATCGTTGGGACCCCCAAAGCGAATCTTAGAGGCACAAGGATTCTACCTCTTGGGATTTTTTGGGGATCTGGATGAATTTGGTAGATTGGGATCATAAGATTGTAGGATCAAAGGATCCAAAATGGGATTTCGAAAACCATTGCGCCTATGTTTTCTGTAGAACACTTATATTATTTATATTGTTTACCTTTTCATTTCTCTATCTGTACATGACTTTAATATATATTTTTTCACTAATCAGATTTTGAAGGAGTTTCTTTGTTTTGCTGAAGCTGAAGTTAGGTCACTGGCTTCACTGTATTCTGGGGTGGTATGTCTCAACTTTTTCTTTGTAAAGTATATTTCATGGCCTCATGGTGTAGTTCACCATCTGGTTTTGTTCCCCTATGTCTTTACAGGGTAGAAATGTGGACGCCTTGATTCTTTACTTTGGGGAAGATCCATCTCGCTGTCCATTTGAACAAGGTAGTTGTTCTCTTGTTTGTTATAATTTTATTACAAAGATACCAACAGTGTTAGTGATGCTATGAATATTGTCAATAATAAACATGACAATTCAAAACTGATGTTGTATGTTGTAACTTGTCAATTCAATTAGTGTATGCATGAACCATGGTGCAATAAATGTTTGTTAGTTGCTTATGCTTATATATTTAGTAAAGTGTGAGCATGACACCTTATATGCATGCATTTGATGCTTCTTTCTAGTTCCAGCTTACAATCTCTCGACTTCAGAAACTTAATTATATAGATTATAATGACCAATGCATATATACATGCTTTTGTTAATGTGTATTTACGTGCTTATGTTAGTGTTATGGAAAAATGAAATACAAAGGAAAGCTGGATATCTTATAAGATTATATTTTTATTACTATTCATTGTTCTGCTTAAACTTGATTTTTTATTTTTTATTTATTTTTTTTCTCATTCTATCTAATTAATGGACATTTAAAATTTGGAAAATGATATTTAAGACTACAAAACTAATCTACTTCCTTGACTGAAGGCTTTGAAGCCTTTAGATTAGATGAATGTGGGACCATGTTTGGTCCCACTTGAATGCATCCCATGCATGGGGATGCAATCGGGTTGAAATGGTTGGCTTCTGTAGCATAACTCTTAAAGTTTAGATGCCAAGATACAGTTTTCTTCCTATATATGCATAATAGAAACACAAACACACACATTCTCTATATGTCTGTTTTCTTCATAATTTTACTGCTGCTATCTCATATATTTGTGAACTCCTCCTGCAGTTATTTCAACTCTATTCAACTTCGTGAAAATGTTCAATCATGCTCATGAGGAAAATTGCAAGCAGCTTGAGCTTCAGAAAAAGAAAGCAGAGAAGGCTGCAGAAAGTGAGAAGTTGAAGATACATGCTTCACATGACACTGAAAATTCATTGCATACTCCAGTTAAGAGAATCAAATAATTTGACAATACTATATCCCCGTGAGCTAGTTTCCCTACCAGGAATAAAAAATATCATATGCTGCTGCTAGCAAAAACATACGGAACACCGAGGAAATGAGAAATGATCTTCTGAATGGGAGAAGGATGTATATATAGTTGTGAGTTGATGCATAGGTGTAGAGTTGTAAAAAGACGCAATTTGCAGCAAGCTAAAGGATCGAACTTCTGTTTCAAGAGGTACTCCTTTTCTTCTCTCTCCTATTTAATAACTTGCTTGGTGAGGATTACATCCTTCTCTCTCTCTTTTTTCTACCCAATTTATTTACCTTAACTATTATGTTTTGTAGCAGAAACAGGGAGTTGGTGCAGTCCTGTTCGCTGTAGGCAACTTGTAAAATATCTACTGTCAGAATGTAAGATATATTTGAAATGGAAAAACTGTTATTCTGTCCTTTCTTTTCTAGTTTTTATTCTGATTTTCTGTTTCTCTTCTTAGTTTTTTATTTATAAAATTAATCCTAATTGCCATGTACATTATATAATCTTCTTCTTTCTTTTTTTTTTTCCCCTTGGTGGCAGTCAGCTTAGAGCAATATTTTCCTTTTCTTACTTTTAGGGAAGTTACTAGTTATAAGAAAGATAATACATTATAGATTAATAGAATTTGCTGTTATTCTATGGGATTCTCAGCAGTGTGTTATATTGGTCTTCTGCATCAAATGATAGTGGTGACATATCATGTTCTTTTTGTGTATTTCCCTCCCTTTTTTTGTGGGGGCTGGGGGATGTAAATGCTAATTGTGCAAGGCTTTTCTTCCACCGAATTATAGATGTTTCTCGTGATAAACTCTAGGTGATTGATATTTTGAAAAATATTTATGCTGTTATAACCTATATAAACCAACATAGAGTGGATACTCATTGTTCTCTCGTGTTTTGGTGGCACTAGCATAGGATTATAAATGTTAATCAAAAGAGAAAATACAAGGTACTGTAGGAATTCAACATCATTCTTCTCTTAGAAATTGAAGTATAACTTTTGGGGAGAATCATAATTAGTTTTTCTGATGCTTGATGTTGATACACTTTATATGCTTTTTGTTACTGATATTTGAGAAATCTATTCTTATTCCTATTCCCGTCCTCTGGACCTGAGTCACCTGACAATTTAGATTGCGGGTTGAAGGCATTAGCTTTAGCTCTCTTAGTTTACTTGCATTTTTTTTAACTCAATTTATTATAACTGCACTTTGGAATAAGTTATGCTTGTAACTTAATCATTCATCACCAAATTATTGAAGGATTTGTCCAATCCTGGGATTTATGTAGCTGTACTTTTAGATTACCAACTATTATTTATAAAATATTATAGAGTTTTATTTACTATTTCTTTACATCCCTTTCCCTTAGGTGGAATTTGTTTACTCCTAGTTTCTCTTACTTCCGTTCATTTTGATGTAAAATGTCTCACAACTGCTTTTATCCGCTGAATTGTAGACGTTTCTTGTGATAAATCCTAGTATATTTATATTTTGGAAAAGAAAAAAAAGAGAGAATATTTATGATGTTATGAACTTAGATGCACCAACTGGGAGGGGGTTTGGTTGTTCTTCGGTCATATAGTGATATTATCATGGCATTTTAAATATTAATTGAAAAGAAAATACAAAAAGAATGGATTTAAACGTTATTTTTCTCTTAGAAATTTAAAACTGAAACATGACATTTGGGGAAAAATCAGAATTAGTTGTTTGATATTTCAGTTGATACACTTCACTGCCTTTCTTTATTATTATTAGAGATCTGTTTTTTTTTACCATTCCTATCCTTTATACCTGACAATTTAGATAGTTGCCTGTTAACATTGGCTTTCACTTTCTCTTAGTTTATTAACATATTATGAAAACTAAATTCATTCCGAAATGCTTGTTGAACTTGAACTTTGACAGAGGTTGTGAAGGATGAAGTGAAATTTATTGGGACTTTTCCGGTCATGACCAAATTATTGTAGGGTCTGTCCATTTCATAGGATTTCTGAAGGCTTTGTTTTTAGATTAATATCATGTTATAAAAGAGCAGTATATCTTTTTTAGTGATTATATTATATATATATAGAGAGAGAGAAGTTGAATTTGTTTACTGCTTTCCAGATTCTCTCTCTTATCTCCATTGGTTTTGGTATAAAATGTTTTTATATCAGAAAATGTTTTTCATGTAAAAAAATTTCATGGAAAGAGAATGATATACCTGAACTTGTACATACTTTTTTATTGTTCATATCACATGTATCCTTACCCAAAAAAACCAAAACAAAAATGTCTTGCGCAAATATTGGTACTCCCTATAAATGTTCTTTCCTTGCAACAGAGCATTTGTTGGTTCGTTATGACATTATCATGTGTAGATGGATCTTCGTGTCCATCTTCTGTAACAATTTATTTTTCCACCATTAAAATGTTAGGTGGTATGTGTGCGCGTTTTTAACATTTATATTTTACTATGATATTTTTCTCATCACGAAAAATCGCATGAATTCAGCATTTTATATCTTTTTCGAGTAATATTTATGCTTGCTGAAATAAACTATATCCTAATTTCTGGCTGTTTAATATATATATATATATAATTCACTTTTTCAAAGGCTGCAGTCCAATGGTATCTCCTCAACTTCTACTGGTTTTGTTTGCCAAAATAAAGAAGGAAAAAAAAAAAACTTCAGTTATGCTTGCTTGATCCATAAATGCAATAACATTAACATTATGCGACATCTGTTATATATATATATATGTATATATATATTTTGTGATGCTTGTGTAATACAAGTAGCGTTATACTCGCTAAATATTGTAAAATATTGTAATAGTCATGTGATATTGTGTTGTATTTGGCCTGATTACTTGCAAACAAAATCCGTTGCTTGGAGAATCAAATCTATTTTTTAAAATGAATTTGTTAATAAACAAAGAAACATGTTTTAATTTGAGTATTTGTTCATTGAGTGTCATGGGTCAACTATCGTTTAATGCCCATCCACCTTCATATATTAAAAGGTTTTGTTAGATGAAAAGTTGGTTGTTTGGTCTCCAAGTCTTACTAATTTGTTGGAGTTAGTGGGGTGGATATGTAATAAAGAGTAGTTTGTTAGAAAATGTAAAAGATGAAAGTTGACTACCTACCATTCTACTTTAGTATTTTATTGAATTTTTAGGTATATAAATGTATGTGCCTACAGAGACACATAAACAACATTGGCAGAGATCTCTCAATTAATATAAAACTCAGATGGAATATTTTGAAGTAATGGCAAAGCCGTATATCCAGATTAAAATTTGTAAACTGCTCTGGTACTTGTGGACCCAAGATCCAAAACCGACCCATTTTACAGTATTCAGCAATGGTCACGTGCCGTCAACGAAATCATTGTTGGGATAGTTGACACAAGATTCATCTTTTATGTAATTTTTTTAATACTAGATGAACACAGAAATTGAGAAAATGATTATCTCCTATAAATACAATCCCAATATCAAGTGTAATCCCAAAAGTCGTGACATTCGAAGTTGGGTTCAGCGTCATAGAAATGAGAGTAATTTAGATGATGAGTTTTATTAGATGATGCGAGCTGTCTAAATTGGGGTGGCGTCGCGCACACATCGGCATTTGCCTGGGGGTACAGTATTATCATCTTATGGGTAAGGGTAAGTGTGATACACACACACACACACACGCAAACACACACAAACATATAAATAAAATGAAAAGTTAGGTCCCATAAAATGTGGAGTAAAATGACCCATAAATAATGCTCGATTAAGATCTTCTTTGCCACATGATTTTATACTTAAAATTTCTTAGCTTAAAATACAACTCTGGGAGCTGTTCGAATCCAAGAACACCACTAATAAATTTGGTTGGTGGGGAATAATAATAATTGCTTGTTTCTTTTGTACATTTTTTTTTGTAGTTACAGGTTTCAAAACACATCTAAACAACATCCACAACATACAAGTGTCAATAATTTTTTCCTACAAACATCACAATCATCTGGACCTCTCTGGTATGATTTCCATGAATTCGTACACACTTCCTCCATTTTTGACTAAAGATTATCTTTCATATCATTTGCCAAACTACCTCGCACTATGTATATATTATTCACAATACACACTATCTGTATTTATAATTATCAAAATGCGTCTACACAATCATGGCAAACAAAGTGAGAATAACTTCCTCCCAAAGGCAATGTCGGACGTGATAGAATTGAATTGGCCATTTTCAATTCAGACATTTATGGTTATTTATTAATAGTAAATTTGCAAAAGAAATTAGATATGATTCCTTCAAAATTCATTGAATCTGTTTAGTGTTCTTACTTTGGCAGTGATCTGCATCGTCACTGATTTTTTACTGTTGCAAAAAGATATTCCTCTAACATTAAACGTGAAGTAAAAGATTACAGAAGGCAGCCTTTTCCTACTGTCAAAATAGGGTCACACTTTTGTGAATTTGTACTCCTCCATGTAAAAATCAAAGAAGCTTGTGTCGGTGAGAGTTGAGGAGGCAACTTTTGTCGGATATGTACAGCCTTTGGTGAATGATTTGGCCTCACATGTTGAGTGGTAAAAATTATAAATAAATAAAAAAGTGGTGGGGCCAACTTTGAAAGTTTTTGTTTGGGCTTGGACCACATGATCTCACCTCTTCATCAATCGGTCAATTTACCAACACCACCACCAATTGCTAAAACATTCCAATCCCATTGCCTCACCCTTTTTTGCTTTTTACGACTTTGATTCGGCACTCTATGGACTCTCTATATGCTAATTGCTACTAATTTTCTTGTTTTTAATAAGATTTTCACATGTTGACATAAACGATTTCATTTGTATTGCTTGGGGATAAAATGAAAATAAATTTGTACCATCCTATCTCATTTTAGTAGTCACACATTTTTTTTTTTATAAATGTTCTAAATTAATTGTCCAGTCAAAACAAATATTTGAGAGGATTTTGATATTACAAGAATATGCAAACATAGTTTTAAATGTCAATAATTTTTTGTTGATGTGATGCTATCAACGGGTTCCTTTTGTTAAGAGTAATAATTTTTGTGGAGGTTAAAATTTTTGTGGAGATAAAGTAAATGTACTAATGTATTTTTTGTCAAAATAAAAATAAAATTAAAAAAGAAATCAAGAAGAAGAAAGATCATAGTGTCAAATGTCTCTGTTGAAGTGGTGCTATCAACGGGCTCCCCTCTTGTCAAGAGATTAAAAATTTTTGTTAAGATAAAATGGGTGTGTACGTGTTTATTTTTTTTTTTTTAAATAAAAAATAAAATAAACAAAGAAAAGAAGAAGAATGATGATTAAGAGGGTGCATGAATTTTGTGAAGAAGAAAACTTCATTGTGACGGTTTTTTGCTTCCTATTAAAGTCACAACAGTCAATAAATGGTGTGCCCTGTGCTATATCAGGATCATGGTCCCTATTGGGTGGGTCCCAAGCTTCTTATATCTTAGAAGTGAAGCCGATTGAGAATTGAGAAAAGCAAAGCAAAGCAAAGTTTAGAAATTGAATGATTTTCTTGTATATTACAGTTTTACACAAAATGGTGGAGAGAGAAAAATGAAGAGGGATAAAGATGGAAATAAAGAGAAGAACGACAGAATAGAAATATTGACCATTCTTACACTTGTCATTTAATGAAACAAAAAACTGAAATTCAAACAATTTGTATCTTACTCAAGATGACAAAGTCAATCCAGAATTGTCACTCCATCCACACTCTAAAACAACGGCATTAAGAATGAAATTACGTTTGATGTTACCTGAAATTTGATTGAGAGTAACAGGTTTCAAAATATATATATATATACAAATATATTTCCATTTAATTATGAATCACAACTTTGTGGACTTGGGTGAAAAGTAAGAAGGAATCTAATCATGCATGGTTGTATTTTATATAAAAGTTTGTGGTTTCATCATTCTAATTAATTATATAAGTTTAAACTAATCATGCAGACCATAAAGCACTAAATACTGTTCTTGTTTCGATCTAATCATGCAGACCATTTTGAAGATGTGAAAAAATAAGTATAATCAATTTTAATTTATCGTATCTAATCTCAATTGTGGTTGTTGTTACTTGTTGTTACATCTATTTTCAAGCTGAAAATAAGAGGTGGCCCAGTTAGTTTAGTAACTTGGATGAGGCTGAATTGACTGACTTGCTTCAGTCTCTTTCAAAAATAATATAAATGAATGTGACAGTTTTTTAAGTCGCATTCTCTTGTAATTTTTTCTCCTTTTAATGCTTTCTCTGTCCGGTTGTTTTGTTTAGTTAAAAGAATACGTGGGAATGTTATAAAAAATAATATATTCAATTTTGAAGCAAGACATATTTTTTTAGGACATCTTAAAATAAAAATGATGGATAACAATTTTAAGAAGGAGAGAGTATTATCTAAAAAAAAAAAATCTCAAATTGCAACTTTAATTGAAATACCAACACACACATATATATCATGTAGTCTTTAAACATTCGAATATGAATGAAACTTCATTTAAACTAAAATTCCACCCCCCACCCCCATAACAATCAATAGCATGGTACAAAATTGTAATAGCATCTCATCAACCTACGCACTAACCGCTAAGCATAATAATTAGCACTGTACTACCTATCATGGTTAAACTCTCTTTTTCCAAAAGGAAAAAGTCCATAACTCTGGTGATATATATATATATATATATATATATATATATATATATATATATAATTTTCAAAAACCATCTAGTAATTCTCATCAACATTTATATTAATTTTTTTTTTTTTTTTTTATAAGTAAGAATTTATAAAAACGCTCAAAAGGGAGGCGGGATCCAAAAAAATACAAAGGTCAGAAAACGTCTCAAACCTTCAAAGAGGCTAAAAAAAACAACAATATCCTCAATAGATTTATAATCTCTCCCTAAAACTCTACAAAAAAAAAGTGGAAATAATAAAGAACTTAAGCATAGAAACATGTTTTTCCTTTCCATTGAAATATCTTTGGTTTCTCTCCAGCCAAATGCAGCACCAAATACAAAAAGGAGTAGTCCTCCAAGCATCCCGAATGAGAGCCTCAACTGAGAAACCTCTCCAAACCTCGATCAACCCTCTAGCAGAACGAGGCATAACCTAAGGAACCCCAAACAAACCAAGCATCAAAACCCAACAATCTCTGGCCAAACTGCAATGTAACAGAAGATGATCAACTGGCTCCTCATCGCACAAACACAAGTAACAACGGTTGACCACCACCTGATTCCTCCTCCTCAAATTATCCTGAGTTAAAATCCTACATAAGACAGAAGTCTAAGCATAAAAGGCCACTTTGAGAAGAGCCTTGGAACGCTAAATAGACTTTCAGGGGAAAGGGCCCCTAGCATCAACCGTAAGACACTTGAAAAAAGACTTAACCTCGAACCAACCCTAAGAGTTAGGATCCCGAAGCCAACCATCAGAGACCCCATCAGTGATCACTTGGCGATACAAAACCTCCAAAAAAACGACAAACATCCTCAATCTCCCAGCCCTGAAAGTGGATCTTAAACTGAACATTCCAAGTCAATCTTCCGTTATCAAGATGATAACAATCAACCACCATGGCCTGTCTATGAGAAGCAATGCTGAAGATTCGTGAGAAAATAGTCAATGTACACATCAATATTAATGGAAATAATTATTTCTTCTAGGAAAATGATAAATTTAATTATAGGCTTTCTTTATCTATTGGTGTGATAATTAATCAATGAGATAAATACCTGAGTGAAAGAATTGTTGAAATTATTACAAAAATTAATAGATTTTTGTATCATTACAGAAGAAAATATACAATATGTCCGACAACCTTGTATATTTTTTCCAATAGGCCTCCCATGCAAATTATGCACCTCCAAGTTCTTACAAATCTAACCGGTTACAATTGTTGATTCATCATCTATCACAGAAAAGAAGATCTATATATATATATATATATTTCTTTGGCACAGGAGCCGCAACATTATCTATATATATATTATATATATTTATATATATATTGTAACTTTGATATCTTGGGATCTTTAGAACCAAAATAGATTTTTGTATCATTACAGAAGAAAATATACAATATGTCCGATAACCTCGTATATTTTTTCCAATAGGCCTCCCGTGCAAATTATGCATCTCCAAGTTCTTACAAATCTAACCGGTTACAATTGTTGATTCATCTATCACAGAAAACAAGGTCTATATATATATATATTTTTTCTTTTGGCACAGGAGCCGCAACATTTTCTATATATATATATATATATATATATTGTAACTTTGATATCTTGGGATCTTTAGAGCCAATTTAGGGACAGATCGTCCATTACTTGGCGAAATAACCACGACAAGTTGCGCTCTCTGTCTCTCTACGTGTATAAAACACACAAAGATATATATATATATATATATAAAACTTTGGCAGCAGACAAAATTGATTAATTAAATACTCCATAGTAAAAGAAAGAACCCTTATCCCAGAACTTAATTTAAGGAGTTTAGTCTAATCTCTCTCTATAATTTAACGGTACATGCGAGACTAATGACTTTTGGGAGGAGGCTACCTCGGTAACAGAAACAGTAGTCTCACAGATCATCAAGTGAAGAATAAATCCACAAAAAATTAAAGGTCACTAACTAAATCATTAATCCCCACATTACCCACACCAGTTTTATCTACTTTTTCTCTTTTTCTAGTGAGATATATACACAAAGTGCACAAATATATATATATATATATATATATATATATATATATATATATCATATATGAAGGTAGGAACAAATACATAAAAGGAGAAAAAGCAAAAAGGGCAAAGAGCGAGCGACATCCCAAGGCGCTCTCTCTCTCTCTCTCTCTCTCTGATCTTTATGTTTCATCACACCAACCGCCATTCCTTCAGCTTAAAGCCTCAATCCATTGACAACCATTGCAGTGACCCCAGTGGTACTACTACTCATTTAGAGAGAGAAACTAACAGAGTAAAAAGGGAGATATGGATGTGGGTAGAAGAAAGGGCGCCACAAGAAACGGTGTAGTTGCAGGGTCTGTTTGGGAGAGCAGAATGAAGGTTGATGAAGTCAAAGGAGGTATCAAAGTCTTCAATGGCGAAGACAATTCAGAAGAAAATGGCGATAACACTACTGCTACTGCTACTGCTCTACAAGTGGATAACAAAAGGTTGAGACCAAAACAGAGTCCAGTTGGGGTTAGTGGGAAGAGAAAGACATGGAAATCTGAGAGTTCTGAAAACCCAATTCAGATTGCAAGGCAACGATCTGAAGTGAAGAAGACAATGGAGGAGCAGTTTAAGGAGTTGAGTGTCTCTGCCGATTCAATCAAGAAAAGCCCAATTCAGATGAAGAAGACGAGATCTGATGTGGGTAAGGAGCTTAGTGTATCCGTTGATGGAATTCAGAGAAGCCCAATTCAGAAAATGAAGACAAGATCTGAAGAAGCTAAGCAGCTCAGTGTGTCCGTTGATGGAATTCAAAGAAACCCAATTCAGAGTAGGAACCCAAAATCTGAATCATGTGAGGAGGTTGGTGAATTCGGTGATGGAATTAAGAGGAATTCAATTCAGTCGAGGAAGGTGAAATCGGAGTCCAATAAGCCTCCGGATGAATCCATTGATGGAAATCAGAGGAATTCACCTCAATTGAGGAAGGTGAAATCGGAGTCGAATAAGACTTCGGATGAGTCGGGTAAAAAGACTCTAGATAGCTTGGGGGATGGAAATGAGAGGAATTCAGTTGAGCTAAGGAAGGCTAAACTGAAGTCTGATAAGGTTGTGGATGAGTCTAATAATGGTGTTGATGGGCCTGTTGAGGGAATTGAGAAGAGCCCAGTTGTAATTGAGAAGAATAGATCTGATGAAAATTGTAAAGAGCTTGATGTGTGTCAAGAAAAGGTCATTTCAAGTAGTTTGAGTAATGTGAGTCAGGTCAAATCTGCTTCACCATTGGTGGTGAATGATGATGAGCTTGATGATGATGATGATGATGAAGACTGGGATGAAGAATTGGAGGAAGAGATGGATGAGGAAATTGAGACTGAGGTAGAGAAGAGGAGCTTTGATATCAAGGAAATTAACATACCAGAGCAAAAACCCAAACAGGTTGTGAATGAAGAGAAGAAGTTCCATCAAGTCCAAGAAATACCAAAGCCCATCTCACCAATTGTGAGAAAACAGCCTCCTCCCGTTGTGAAGAACACCAGAATCCATCCAAATCCACCAAAAACTACTACTCCTATTGTGAAGAACGCCAGAATCCATCACGATCCCCCCAAAACTACACCAAGTAAGTGTGTGTTTCTTCAAATTTTCACTTATTTGGTTCACTTATCATACAAATTCTGTCCTTCCTATTTATGGTTTTTGTGTTTGAATCTAATTGTTTCTTCAATTTGACTGCATTTTAGATCCAGTTTTCCATTCAATACCTGAAACCCATAACAGATTACAGAATTTAGGTGGGTTTTCATTACTGAGTTGATTCAATTATTCTTTATTTAGAATTAATTCCTAATTTTAAGCATTCATTTTTGGTGATTTGTTAAATTTCCAGTTGATCTAGTGATGTGGAGAGATGTGTCGAGATCGGCATTCGTCTTTGGAATTGGAACATTCATCACAATTTCATTATCTTACACCAAAGATCTCAATATCAGGTAGAAGCAACAGTCAACAATAATTGTAATTTCAGGTTTAATATTTAATATTGTTGGTCCATTTTAGTTTAATAACTGTAATTTACCCTTTTTAAAACATAGCCTTACCTAATATATCTTTTATAATTGCTATTACAGCTTAATTACTGTAATTTCCTACCTGGGTCTTGTCTATCTTGCTCTAATCTTCCTATACAGATCCATCCTATGCAGGTATTACACTAAACTAATTCTATAAATTGGTTTTGTTTCAAAATCTTAATTTACTATCTCTTCCTAATTTTTTCTTTATATGACAAAAAATAAAAATTCAGGGGAGTTATAGATGTAGATGATAGAATCCAAGACTATGTGGTGGGTGAAGAAGAAGCAGTTTGGTTACTAGAATTGGTACTTCCTTATTTGAATGAGTTCCTCTTGAAACTCAGAGCTCTTTTCTCTGGGGATCCTGCCACTACAATGAAGGTAAAATTGCATTTTTTTTCTTCTATAATCCACCTTTTTTTAACTTCATTTACCTTGTGGAAATTACCTAAAATGACAAAATGTTACACTGGCAGTTGGCAGTGCTGCTGTTTGTTTTGGCTCGGTGTGGCAGCTCCATAACAATTTGGAAGATGGCCAAATTGGGTGAGTTTCATGTAAACTTAAATTATATACACACACGTATATACTTGGCAAATAACTTTTATGTTTTTTATTTTGTCCGAAAGTTCAAGTAAACTCACTCAACCACAATAGTGCCCATAGTAGGACAGAACACTCAAAACTAAGATATCATACCCTTTAGGCTTTTAGCAAATGAACTTGATTGGCAGCTGTCCATAGCAATTTGGAATAGAAAGGTTGCCTTTGATTTTTCCCCATTCCGACAAAAAATTAGAGTGAAATGAGAAATGCTTTTGCAAAGGAGAGCGTGTTAATATGAGTGAAAGTAGTTTTACATCCTTCGTTTGGGGGTAGCTTTTCCAAGTCAAATCAAACTTTAATAATTAGCATTAGCGCGGGGTAAAAAGAGCATTTTCTCTTCTTCTTCTTTTCTTGGCAAATAATTCATTTTTTTTTTTTTTTTTTTTTTCCGAAGCATTCACAATATTGTCCATAATAGGACTTGAACACTCAAAACTAAGGTATCATACCCTTTAGGGTTTTAGGCAATGTCCTTGATTGGCAGGTCCATCGCAATTTGGAACAGAAAGGTTAATTGCCTTTGATTTTTCCCCATTCCGACAAAGAATTAGAGTGAAATGAGAAATGGTTTTGGCAAAGGAGAGCGTGTTAATATGACTGAAAGTTGTTTTACATCCTTCTTTTAGGTTTAGGGGTAGCTTTTCCAAGCCAAATCGAACTTTAATAAGTAGCATTAGCTCGGGGTAAAAAGAGCACCCTCTTGGTAATTTTCTCCTTTTTTTTCTTTTCTCACTAACCGAACAGACAAATATATGAACTTTCTGCAAATTCGATCAACCTTACTGTCCCACTGACGCATGGTTGTGCTATACTGTAACAGGCTTTTTTGGAGTTTTCACCGTACCAAAAATCTGCTCTTCCTATTCCACCCAGTTGACTGCATTCGGTAAACTTCACATACTCTGATTTTATTGCCTTTACACACACACACATATGTGCGTGTTGAATTATGATACTATTATACCGTTGTAGTGTGCAGTCCTCAGCACACCTGAGTCTTATCAATAACATTAGATGCTGTACAGTAGCAGAATGGTGGGTCATATTCTGCTTACCAAATTTTATGACATATATGGTAAAGTGCAATAGTATGTGTCTGATTAATCACATAACGGCTCTTTTTTATTTTTGGATGGTATTAGCATAGAGTAGATTTAATTGGTCCCACAAAATAAATAAATACATTAAGTCCATATATATCACCATCCCTTTCTTTTATTTCATCATCTGTGATCAGTCTGTTTTAGTTATTTACTGGTCAACCTAACGGATATAATGCAAATTTATTACAATGGATTGAGTTGAGTATTAGCACTCATTACTCAACATAGTTGGGCCTTGTTCACTTGTCAATGGGCCTGCATTACAATGGTCCCTCGTATAGGGTAGGGTATAAAGTGCCTTCTCTTTTTCTTTGATAAGGACCTTTCTCTTCTTGTCACATTGCTAAAATCCCCATGATACTAAGTTTAATAAAATCCTAACATTGGATTCCGAATAAATGAAGGTACATTTTGGGTTCGACGCTTTCAAGATGCTTGGGAGTCATGCTCTCACAAGAAAGCTGTAGCATTTGCCATCTTTACTGTTGTGTGGAATCTATCTTCGGTCGTTGCTCGTATTTGGGCAGGTAGGGACACTTTTGTCATTTTACTTTGCGCGAGTTTAGGAGTTGTCAATAAGGTTTTGCATTTTTACTCTCACACACACACACAAACACACTACGTACTACTACTGATGGGAAATGCAAAATGGATGCAGTGTTTATGCTATTTGTGGCCTTTAGATGTTATCAGCAGTCGTTGATGAGAGATGATTGGATGGAGGAAGAAGAAGAAGAAGCAGGATATGACGAAGATTCTTGGCAACAACAGATTAGAGGAGAGGGACAAGGCCGTCGTGGGCCCACTATAGTGGAAATAAAGAAAACCAAGAAAGGATTCTAAAAATGCTGCCCACCACTCTCCCCTACTTTTATCAAACAAGAGTGCCACTACTACTTATTTGCTTCATAGATGATATGATATGATATATGAGTTTGTAATAATAATAACAATAATAATAAGTCTGTTTTCATTTATTCTTTTATTTTTAAATCCTTATTTCGTGTATATATGTTTGTTTGGTGACAACACGTCTCAACTAACAAATCTTTAGATCTTGAGGCCTGCTTTGCCAATTTATTTATTTATTTTTAGTCGGTGTGTGTTAATACTTAAATCATTACTGTTAAAATGTACCCGATTTTAGGTGGCAGTCACCTCACAACTTGGAGGGAATCTCCTTGAGATTACTAAGAGACCCGACATTACCATCGTAAGTGATGTATGTGAAATATTCTAAGAGGCACTCGCTGACAAGAAAATAAATAAAATCCACGAGTTCATTCTTTTTGCACCAGTTGGTGTACACATTTATGATTTATCATTCTAGCTGTTAACCCCAGTGGCTAATTGGAAATCAACTCCTAATTGCTGAATTGGTTTGTCCTGGGCTTGGGCCTGGAAGGACTGATAACTCAATTGGGCTTGCTTGAATTTGTTTCTGTCAGGGTCAATCTTTTGTAACGTCTTATTGCTTTGGGCTTGTTGGGGCTTAAACCTTTTGTGTTGTTGCCTTTATGGATGCTGGGACCTTTTTGTTCTTGGGCCAATTCACATGCCGAAGATAGAAACAAGTTAAAAAACTTTTCAACTCTATACTAATAATCTGCATTTATAATTCAAGTTAAAATTTTGAATTGAAAATCAACTTGATTGTAAATTCGTCTCGTGTTTGTTTACTTAAAGTTTAAAAAATGCATAAACAAATTCATATAAATAAATCTTTTAGAGGAGATTAATATGTAACAATTCTTAATAAAAAATAAAGAGTAATGTTTAGGTCCTCACCAGTGATGATTTACACCATCTTCATTAATAAAGTGAACCAATAATAAATATACATTTCATCTTTAATTACTAAATTTAATATGGTAGGTAAATATTCATTTACCAAATCACAAAGATGGTGATTTATTATTATTCAAAAATAAATAAATTAAAATATAAATTGTTGATGACCACTACAAGTATAAATATTACATTTAAAAATATATAAATACATAAAATTCAAGTTAAAATTCGGCTCAGAAGTAAAGTTGATTATGGCATCTCAATTTTATTTAAAAATTGAGTTATGCTGCATTTGACCGACACCAAATAAACACTTGGACTAACTTTGTACTGTATTTTTTTTTTTAATCTTAAATCCAAATCACAATTGACACTCCCAATCATAACATTAACATATATATATATTTTTATTTAGGCCAACCATAATTGTATAAATAGTTGTTGTTATAGGTGAGAACTCGTCCCACAACGAATTCAGATGAAAAATATATGAATATAAATGAATGGGTATGCAGTACTACCTAATAATTTAATTTAAATTTTTAAATAAATAGACAAGCGTCCATTCATTATTTGCTCAAGTAAAAAATATTTAATATTAATAATAAATATTAGAAAAAATTGTCTCAACTAATTCAAATATTTAAAATAAAAGAAAAAATTATAAGGGTCAACGTTTATATTAAAATAAATTAACTGTTTATAAACCCCCTACTACTGTTATCTCACACTGTCCCTTGCGGGTGTTTCACGCTTCCACTCATCCTTTGATAATTGATTTCTTAATTAATGTACTAGTAATAATTTAATAGAGAGAGACGTTGTCTTGAACTTTGTGCTAAAATCCAAAAGAAATAAATATTCTCTTTCACGCCTTCACCCCTATTGAACGATTAGGGTTTTGTTGTTCAGGTACGTATAGTTTCTTTCTTTCCCATTATTTATTTTCTTGTTTTCTGCCTTTAATTCTCTATACTTCTCAACCCGTATTTTTTGTTTTCAGTTTGATCCCTTGAGTTCACTGTGATTATGATTAAAAAATAAGAAGAAAAATGAAAAAAAACTCTTTTATAAAAAAAATATTCGAAATTACGAACTACACTTGTCTGGGTAATTGTTTTGTTTTATTACTCCTATTTCGTTTTTGTTTTCTTCACAGTTCACAGCAACGCTGGACAGCCCTAGGTACATCTTTCTTTCTTCTACTTTCTCAATACCCTAAAATTGCTCTTTCTAAAAATCTCTCTAATTCTTTTTTTGGTTTCTTTTTTACTCTTCTTCTTCTTCTTCAAAATTTTCTTCAATCAAATCCTATTAATTTTTAATGTTCAGGGCATGCTATGCTGATTAATGTAACACTCTGTTCTTGGAAACTGAACACATCAATACACCTCGTCTGGACTTTAGAGTAATATGGCACTTGGGAAAATAATAATGGGTTTTAAAAGATGTTAGTCTCTGATTTTCTGTTTTGGTACTGATATTGTTGTTGCCGTTTCTTAATCATTGTGTATTATGGGTGGTTCAACTTACACTGTGTGACAATAGTTAGATTTTAGGTCATTTCCATGACTCACAGAATATTATTTTGGGTTCTTTTGATTCAAGTTGATTAAGTTACTACTGGTCTTGTTATTGTTGCTCTATTCCATTGCAGCATTGTTTTCTAGTCCAGACCCCTTCTATATATACTTTTAGTCTCTCTCTATTTATGAAACTCTACGTTTTCCAACTGAATTTCTATTGAAATACAAATTATGTACTACTACAATTTATACACACACATATATATATGCACTAACTAAATCTCGGTCACTATTTTTGAGAGCTCTAGTATTCCATCTAATCGGAAAGAAACTGAAAATTTCTCTCTAAGCTCTTCTTTGTCTCTTTAAATTCAGATTCTGTAAAAGGAGAAAGAAAGTTGGAACGATTTTCAAAGCAATCAGTTGAACAATCCAACAACCTAGAGGTCAGCTTTCACTATACATTTCTCTCTCTAAGTTTTTCTTTTTCTGTCTTTAAGTGCAAATTTTGTAAAATGAAAAGGGGTATTCGAGCGACCAACTTTCGCAACATCCAGCTTCAACCAAAAAATGTATGTTCAAACCTAGCAGCCCAAATGGCAATAATTCCTCATTTGTTATGTGTTAATCCTTTAATAGCTTCGAAGATTGTGTACAAAACATGCTTTATGGAACAATCCACTTAGAGAGTTGGGTTTCCAATTGTCAGTTCTAGGAATTTGCAATAATTGACCCACATGTGGGACGGGCTGGGTAATTTGTCCATTTATCTCTAATTTTTATCTCTTTAAATGTAGATTATGTAGAATGGAAAGGGGAATTCCAGCAACTTCGAAGCAAGTGGTCGAACGATCAGCAACCTAGAGGTCAACTTTATCTTTACAGTTCTCTCGATAAATATATACATATATAATATAGATTTAAGTATTGTGTTGTATATATGGATGGTCTAGAAGGTGGATTTTGGATAGATTTAAGCTTCTATAGGCAAAAATGGTTTTTCTTCGAAACTAAATATGTTATTGATTGGATTTAACTTGTACCCAACAAGACTTATGGTAGTGAAATTTTTTTCTTCCAGTTTAATAGAGAAGAAGTTGACTGCTGAAAATATGCATTCATGGGCTTATAATTCGTTGCATAAATTTTTTTGTAGGCCATTAGCTACCATTAACACGAAGAAAACATCTTTGGTAAATATGATTTAAATTCATGAGTTACAAGGACACAATATTTGAATTCCTTATACTTATTGGAAGGAAAAAAAAAAAAAAAAAAAAGATTTGAATTCCTTATGCTTTCTTTTGTTTAGTCTTGTATATAGTATTAGTTGGCAATTGTTTTGGTCATGCTAGTGGAAAAATTAGTTAATGATTTAAGATGACTGATGAGAGGATTTATTTTGTGAAAAAAGTTTCCTTTGTTGTCACATATCATGTCTTCGACCAATTGTGGCTTGTTTATACAGGAGATATGTATAGCATTTAGCAGTTATATAGATGATATCATAATTGTAAACCAAAACTGATTTTTTTATTACTATAATTATTTTTATATAAATTTCTTTCCTAGTTGATTTTTCAGGTAATTCTTTGTTCTACTCTAGATGAGTATTGATATCAAATTAGATTAAGAATACTATCATGATGATGCTCCATTCTTCCTGACTTTTTAATTTCTTCCGTCTTCCTTCATTTTTTTTTTTCTTAGTATTCTCCTTCATTAGCATATTATTTTGCAGTGATTTTTTTGGTTTGGCTTTTGTTTTGTCTACAAAACAACCTATATTTGTCATGTTAGTTGATATATATATATATTCATCATGTTCATTGTGCCCTTGAAATGAAATCATGTCTCCACCATTGTTCTCTATCTCACCAGTGGCCTTGCTTAACAATTAGGTTTTGGCTGTGCCCAAATTCATACTAGCTTGTTTAAAATTAAATCTGGTGTAACTGTGGATTTGTAAATGCATGAAAAGTCAGGGATTTTACCAATGGTCAATTTGGTACTATTCAACCAAAAACTTATTCAGCTTTGCTTATTAATCTTAGTCAGAAAAAAGTTGAAAAATACTTCTTTTTTCTGGTTAATCTGTGATTATGATATTTTTCTTTCTTTCTGCACTCATTCTAATCTCCTTTGTGTGTATCTTATTCGGTGCATGAACATTGAAGTGTATTAAGTTGTTTTATATTGCATGGATGGCATTTCAGATGAGTCTTGCGACTGATTCTCCGGTACACTCGTCAAGCAGTGACGACTTTGCTGCATTTCTTGATGCGGATTTAGATTCTACTTCTGACACATCACCTGATCAAGAAGACGAGGATGACGAGGATGACCATGACTCTAATGCAGAGAGGTATTACTCCGGTTGTTTTAATTAGTTTTTAAATATTACTTGAGCATATGGAGCCCTTTAGGATTAATATCTGTGCTAGAGGAATTTTAAATAGCCTCTTGTTTTGTTTTTGGGTGAGACACACTGATGAATTTTATATAGGGCTATAAACAAAGAAAATTCACAAAAGAATAAGAAGACAATGGACCAATTAAACAAAAAAAATGAGGCTTTATGTACGCAACATAGCCTAAAAGGTTAATTCAGGCACTACTGTAGCAGCCTATTGATATATTAAGTGCCATCTTGGATATCAAGTATATACTATATAGTATCATATCGTAAAGTACATATATATCGCAAAACAAGAATGTGAGTAATTAAATCAATCAATTAATCATTCTGTCGTTGTTATCTATCTAAAATTATCACTATCAGCATCATCCCTCTTATCCTCAGAATCCTTTTAACCACTCCCATTTGTAATTTTACTCCCTGATCGGACTCGTTGTTTTTGTCTTTCTTAAATGTTTCAGTTTAATATGCTGCTTTACATGATAACGATCCTGAATCAAGCTGATCCATTTGGTCCGGTTGGTTGATATCTTGATAAGATTTAATTTCTGACATAAAAAAGTTTAGAGCTGAGTCTTGGTTCAATTTTGGTTTGATATGTCATGTAAATAGCTCGAAACTGTTATTGGACCTTTAATGTATATTTATTATTTAGTGATGAAAATAACAAATGCTAGATGTGGCTGTTGCAAGGTCTTGCCTAACTTTTAATGTAGGCAAGGTGTCATGTGCTTAATGGAGGCACAAATACTCATGTCTACCTCAGGAAGGACTTACTGGAGTATTCTGATTTTTGGTGTTACAAATTCGACTTTGTATAGCCAATAAAGAACTATTTTCTGTATTTTTAATAATCAATTAATAATTCCTATATAAAAATATAGTTTATGTTTTGTTTGTTATGTGAATATTATTCTAATTATGTGACAGATGATTTGTCTAAGTAGTAGTACTTTCCGTAGATTCTTTTGAGCTGAGTCCCTAAAGCATAAGATACAGGGACGGGTAAACCAGACTCCTAGATGCAATTATTAATTCCCTAGGCACATATCCATAGCCTTCAAAATACTTGACCATCTTGTGCATTCTTACATGTGTTACACGATGAGGGATAGATTGGAAATATGACTTTAGTTGATGCTCACATTCTTTGCATATGTTAGATAACTATTTTGTTGCTTGAGATACTACTGGTGTTCTTTGAATATTTAAATGTCGCAGGATTAAAAGGCGTAAGGTGGTGTTGGAAATGGTCGAAGATCAACAAGATTCAACTTCACATGGAAATCCAGAAAAATTTTTAGGTGATTCCTAAGTCAGTTGTATATCTACTCCCTCTGTCCCATATTAGTGGTCCTTCTTTCCATTTTTGCTGTCCCACAATAGTTGTCCTATTTCAAAAGTCAATGTACTATATTTGATAACATTCCAAATTTACCCTTATTACATTGAAATTTAAACCAAATTAAACTGTCAAAATGGTATCACCGTGGACCTCACGAAAGGGTAAATTTGAAAATCTATTCATTGCCAATGCAATAAAAAATGTATTCAAAGCCAATCTCTTATAAAGCTAGAATTTCAAAAGTGGACATATAAAGTGGGACAGAGGGAGTATTACTTTAGTTCATACATTAGTGTATATTCTTATCATGTTTGGTGGGTACTTGTTCTTCCTTAACTATTGCGTTGTAGATTCACCAGGAAAATTTTAATGGCATAATAACTTCTGGATGTTGATAGATACCCTGTATTTGGTAGTTGGCCATGTTGTTCTCGGTTAATATATCATTGTTATTATTTTCTTATTTATAATTTTTATGGTTATCGCTTGATATTTATGTGCAATGAGGGATTAGGACCGCAAGCGACCGCAGGCTCTGATGTAGAGTGGCGCAAGGGCATAATCTAGACCTAGATGGGTTTGAATAGGTTTTGATTGCCCAAGTAACTGATTGTAACTAGTTTTTGAATTTTAACAGAAATAATAAAAATTCAAAAATAAACTAACTATATAGCATGTAAATCGAATCATTCATCATGTTTAAAATCATATAAAGACAAGTAAACATAAGCAATTACATGATGACCATGCAGATTTTATGTGGAAAATCCAAAGGGAAACATCACTGGGCCTAGTACAGGCAGATCAAATGCACTATGATTTTTTATTATTATTAGTAAGATCAAATGCACTATGATAGAGTGATACTACAACTAGGTTGACCAGTTTTCCAAAACATAAACAATTCCTAGTTACCTCTTGGCACAGACTAACGCCAAATTGTTGCTTTGTCAATATATCTGTTCCTCACGCGATCTACTTCTCCGTGAGCACATTGATCTCTGTGACTAGTAACATCCAGGCTTTGTGTTTTTTGTGTAGAAACATTTGGTTTTGAATTTTCTTTTAGCACAAGCAATGATAGTTGATGATCAACACATCAGGAACATACTCTCACCTTCTTATTCAATGATGAAGTATGAAAGAAAGAAAATCTAGCAGAGAACTGTTAGATTACACTCTAATATGCTCTATAATTGCATTCAATCTCTGAAGATAAATGGATGCTCTATGTTTGTTCAGAGATTGCTTGCATTAGGTTTTATGAACATGTGTGGTCTTTATATAGAGTTTAGAAGCTTATAGGGACTAGATTAAAAAGAGATTCAGTTCTATTTATAAATCAAATTTCGCGCTGGTCCTGATCGATTGAGCCAAGTGTCTATCAATCAACGCGTGGTCATTAGCTTTTGTTGGATTGTCGATTGGTCAAAGCGCCCTGTCCTGCCAGCCTTAATATTTTGGGCTTGAAAAAGGATTTTTATGAATCAAAACATGAAATGTATGAAACCCTAATTGAATGAATGCATGAAATATGAAATGTAATAGTGAGTGCATGGATGGGTATTGAATTTTCCATTTTGCTCTTGGTTGTAGCTTTGACTACTGAATACGCCCTTGGACTAAGATAACACAACGAATTCTAACTATTAAAAACTATCTAAAAGTTGAATACTATTATACACTTTAACTTTTGTAACAAAATTAGCTAACATAAATCCCATTGATCTAACATGCATCATAAATTAACTAACATGATAGCTTATACTGTTAAATATGTAAATCTCATTTCTTTTGGATAGTTCTTTCAATAGGCTGGGGTCCTCTAATACCTATTCCCCTATTGAGCCTTGAACCAAAGTTGCTAGAATCAGGATTTTGCAGGGTACAAATGATTGTATTAAAGATCATTGGATTCTACAAATGAGGGAAAAAAGTAATACAGAGGATATACGTATAAAGTACAGAGCTCAAAAAAAATAAAAATGTTGAGATAGCATCACTAAAAATTTGCTTGATATATGATTATGTAGCTCAATACTTCAGTTTGCAAGTTTGTACATGAGGAGTTCAGGGTTTGAATTGTTGCATTTCCATTTGCTTTTGCTTATAAAAGCTAAGTTTATAATTCTAAAAAAAAATATATATATATATATATTTTGGGAAGATGGAAAAAACAAAAAAAACGAACAAACAAGGATAATTATTTGTGATATGATTTCTTACAATCTTCATTGTCATTCTTTTGGGCATTGAATATTGTCAGTCACGGGTCAGATCGGAATTTTTTTACATATTGATGATTTCTTTCAATCTTTATCGTCATTCTTTTGGGTGTTGAATACTGTCCATCACTGGCCATATCGGAGAATTCTTGAGGCACTTCTCTTGTTGATGAGTTGGATAAATATAGTGCTTAGCATCATTATATCTTGGTGTGGAAAAAATGTAAGATATGTTATCCGAGATGTAGTTTACAGGGAGTATGTAAGGTAGGCATGATCTTCCCTTTAGAGCAACCTGTGTTGTTGTGGCCCGAATTTTGTTTCGCAACGGGACCTGAAAATGGGCTCTGTGATGTTTTTCTTTTGCGGATCTTGGACTCTATTTAGGACTCTCTTATAGTTCAGTATATAAGGGCGCTTAGGGTTTGGAGTGGGATACGAAAGAACACTGAAAACTGCAAGAAAGAGAGAGAGAGAGAGTGCTAGGGTTTGGGGGTTATTTTTCTGCATAATTCTTGATTTTTTCTTGGTTCGTGGTGTTTGTCATAACACAAACATGTGAACTTGTTTGAGTTTGGCCTTTTGTCAATTTGGAATTCAGAAGGTGCTTGGCTTGATTGTAAGCACCTTGGACCATGCTTTATTGGTTTGAAAATTTAGTCAATTTCAATATCTCATCATAGATGATTGATTACAAGCATAATTTTGAAAGTGATGGCGAATGTGTCTTAGTAAGGTTATGTTTTTAGATGCATATAATTTGCTCCTGCACCATAACAGAGATGTCGATTTTTTTGAAAAGAGTGTTTAATGGAAACATGCATGCATGCATGTGGTGCACATCTCTCTCTCCGTCTCTTATTATGGTGAACTATTTCTTTGATTTCTTATTAAGGTTATGTTTGTGTTTTAACTGTTGCTGCAGAGCGCCTTTCATTATCCAAAAAGTATCTGTATCTCTCTGCAATTTCTCTGTATTGTGACAAGAATTAGGTTTTGTGATACATCTGCATACATGATCATTTAGGTTCACATTCATCCACAGTTTGTGTGTGGCTGGACACCATATGCCTAACTTGTTATTTGTGTGCAGAAGTATCTGCAGAGAAGGATTTGTGTGCACATCCTGGTGTTATTGGAGGAATGTGCATACGATGTGGCAAAAAGGTGGATGATGGTTCTGGTGTGGCATTTGGGTATATCCATAAGGTTGCACCCTTTGACTCTATTTAGTCACGGAGTTGTATTTCACCAATCGGAAAGGAATAAGTGGATTTTCTTCTCTGATTCAGTATGTTGAGGAATGATGTACTTTCAATCAGCAATAACCTATTCAGAAATGTTATAGATTTTTCATTTTGAAAATCACTCTTTGGAGAGTTTCAAATCAGCTTTTAAAGATTTCTGGACATAATGTAGACATACAAAGTATTTCACAAGATTGTGACTGCTCTGGGCATAAGTAGGAAATTCTCTGTAGCTAATCTCTATTGATTTATTTTGTATTTTATATAAGTGCATTTGGATTTGCAGGATTTAAGGCTCGCTAATGATGAAATTGCTCGATTACGCAACAGAGACCTGAAGAATTTATTACGTCATAAAAAACTTTACTTGGTGCTTGATTTAGATCACACACTGCTTAATTCAACTCGACTCGTAGATGTAACACCAGACGAAGAGTATTTAAATAGCCAGATGGATGCTTTGCAAGGTATATGATATTTGTATGTGTTATATGCTTTTCCTATAGTAATGAAATTTGCGAGGCACTGTATCTCTCCTGTAACATTATTCACTGAATATTATATGGCTGAAAATTCTGGTATCTTCATAATCTTTTATAGATGTTATAAACTGTCTACCAAGGCATGGTTTCTCTAAAGATATTTATAATCTTTTATGAATGGAAACCTCTTGGAATATTCTATCTGTTTTGCCATAAGCATTTGGGTTTTAACATAATTTAGGCAGAAGTGAAAAAAAAAAAATGTAATTATATCGTTGTGCTAGAGTCATGTGTATCTCTTGGAAAGTGACATTATCTTTAAATTCATAATGCATATTGTCAAGGAGGGATGCATATGTTATGTAAAGCATTCATCACTCATCCAATGTAATTCACCAATCAGATGTTTATGAGTTACATTGGGGCTGCTAATAATCTCAAAATGGGAGGTTTCTTTGAGTTGTGCTTGTTGATACGAACAAGTTCTATATGTTATATCATTGTTAGATCAAATTGTCTGTCATAGTAGTTGCACAATTCTAGTAGCTTGTTCTTTTCTTAATAGCTTTACTGAAATTAATGAATAAAATTTAAATGAACACATATCTGCTGCGTAATGACTAATCTTATCAGCAAAGATATGATTTCTCCCTTTATAACTAAGCTAATTATCATGTCTTTGTGAATGAATTGCGATGCTTTGATTTCTAGTCAATATTTGCTATTATTCATGCTCTTGCATTGGAACTCAGGTTTTGGGCATATTCAAGGGGATGGAAAAATGAGTTATACCATTTCAACTAATTACTATAAAGATTAAAATTCCAGCTCATCTGGTCACTTTGCATGACAATACATCCATGAGGGGCATATTGTCAGTTCTTCCATTTGGTTGCCACTGGACCTTCTCATTTCCCTTTCACTGACAATTGCAATTCTATCTTATCTCGTTTCTTACATGCAGCCATTTCCATTATCAGTTCATTTTCTATTGGTATGACTGGGATGCAAATCTAGTGGGATTTTGTATAATCAGATTGTTTAGAGAATTTAAAATTTCCAGCCACATGCTAGTAGCCGGTGTTCTGCCCTCCCTCCTAACCATGAACTCCCAACAAAATTAAGTGAATAATAAGTGACTTATGTCTTTCTGCAACATTTTTTTGGTTATTTAAATTTAACAAGATGCTGCACCTGTATTTTGAGCTCTCTTTATAGAGCTAGATCTGCCTTATTTGCCTCATTACGAGTTGTAAAAGCTATGGCATTGAATTGAGACCTCATTTACAAGTATGAATTTTTTTTAATTTTTTTTTACCATAGTTTACCATATGATATGTAATATTGGGCATAATGGATCTGTTTGGTATCATTAGTGTTACTTTCTTTCTCACGTTCAACAACCAGTATGGAAATAAGTCATTATTTTGGAAGAGAAAAAAGTCCTTGAGGCTGACTAATTACCATATTTACTGAATCTCCAATAGAGATGAATTTACTAAACTAATGGAGTGAAGCAAATAAAGGAAGTATGAAAATGCTCATAAATGACTATGTTGGTGTCATTTCTAGAAATGCTTTTATTGCTTTACGTGATTGAAGCATGACACTGCAAATGCTGTGAAAAATAGTATAGCTTATTTCCAATGTTATGTAGAAATATATGGTTGACTTCCTTTCTGCGCTCCAATGCTCCTCTGTTTTATTTGCTTCCCTTTGTCTGTTGTAATATACATTTTCAGCACAATAATACTGCAAACATGGTTGATTTCTGATTTGGTAAAAGCTCCAATGCTCCTATGTTTAATGAATTTCCTTTGTGGATATTGCTATAATGCTGCAAACAAGTTTTGTAAGACAGTTCTTTAACTTATTTTAGGTTCTTAAGAGTCCTTTTGTGGTGTTGCGCTGGTGCGGAAAATGTGTAATTTCTTTCAATTCTTTTCTAGGCAGTTCTTTTGTCCCAGAGAATCTTTGGTACTTATTATGGGTTTTCATCTGATTGGTTATGTATCAGTTTGCTTAAGCTTTTATCGTGGTAGTGCAATGCTAATATGGGAAATTCATAATGAGTTTTGGCTCTTTTTGAATTTATGTGGTCATGTTTATGGTATTCACTTGTAATCCCACAATTTTGATCTGTTAACATGTTCCTTTATGGAATCCAAAATTTGACACAGGTGATGTTTTAAAAGGTAGCCTGTTCAAATTACACTTCATGCACATGTTGACCAAGTTGCGGCCTTTTGTTCACACATTCCTAAAAGAAGCAAGCAACTTGTTTGAGATGTACATATACACAATGGGTGAACGGTCCTATGCAATGGAAATGGCAAATCTGCTTGACCCTGAAAAGGTGTATTTCCATTCTAGAGTCATTGCACAAAATGATTGCACACAGAGGCATCAGAAAGGTCTTGATGTGGTGCTGGGTCAAGAAAGTGCTGTGCTGATCCTTGATGATACAGAACCAGTAAGTAAATCTGTAATCAGCTAAACTTTATGGGTGCTTAAATATTTAGTTGTTGGCTTGTTTATTTGTATGTGTGGTTCATATTCATGCATTTGTAGTTATTAGCAGAGAATGTTGCATTGGGATCCGCCTATTCACTTGTGTCGGTTGTCCTTTTTTCCCTTTGTTCAATTTTTTGACTGTTTATTATGCTTGCCTGCAATTGTTCTTCCTGACAAGGATGTTACGAAATGCTTTAAACAAGATAACTTGAGACACTTGTTTGATTCATTATTGTTTCATTTAAGCTATGAGTGGTATTCAGCATTAGCTGTTTGAGTGGTATTCAGTACACTCTGTAGGATTCTTCAGGTACTTTGCATCCTTCCATATTACTTGAAGGTCACATCTGTTTTTATGGAAATCGTTTTTAGATACTGTGGATGTTTACCTCTTTAATAGGTTGTTGGGGTGATTGCTTAGTTAGTGGTAAAATCATGGGCTGCAAGCATTAGAATTGGGGGTTCACTCTAAGAACAGCCATTTTGTACAAAAAAAAAAAAAAAACCAAAGTTTGGCTGTACCCCCGTCCCCCCTCCCAGTGCTCTTGATTAACTTGGACGACTGGATAATGGTCCATTTGATGGGAATTCTGTAAATGGCCGAACACTAGTCTACTGGATGGCTGCTAAAATTTTGTCCAATGGATTGGGTGAAAATTTCCACCGCACGTCTCTCTTTCTCTCTCTCTGTCGTCGTTGTTGTGTTAAAGAACATTGTGGGTATCTGGGTCTGGTAAAGCAGATGTAGGTATCACAAGTATGATAATGGTGGTCTCAGGAGTGGCTAGGGTGAAAGCCAAGGCAGCCTTTGGGTAGAGTGAGTGTCGCACTGATGGAGAAAATCTTGGAGAATCCTGTGGCCCTATTTGTTATTGTTTTTTGCTTGAATATTATCCAAAATATACATTTTCCTACTATCTACAGACTTTTGAATCTGGCATTGATGGCTCATGTATTTTTAGTGTTGTATAAAATTACATTGCTTACTAGGGAATACTCGAACCCTAAGAGCAGCCTCTCTGTGCATTAATGCCAAAAGTTTGGTCTGTCCTCAATTATTGGGTACCACAGTGGGTTGTCCCCCTTATAAATTACCATTACTTTTCCACCTGCAGGTTATTTACTTGGTACACTTTTGGAGTCGATCTATACCAGTTACAAGCCTTTTTTTTTTTTTTTTTCACTGTCCTTTATTTTAGGTTTGGGTAAAGCATAAGGATAATCTGATACTGATGGAAAGATATCATTTCTTTGCTTCGAGTTGTCGACAATTTGGCTTCAATTCTAAGTCTCTTTCTGAGCTAAAAAGTGATGAAAATGAGGCTGATGGAGCCCTTAGTACCGTTCTTAAAGTTTTGAAGCGTGTCCACAGTATGTTCTTCGATCCGGTATGTGTCCTGTTTCTGCTTCTTATATGACGCTTTATGAAAATGTTCACTCGATTATACTAATTGGGTACCTTATTGTAGGAACTCGGGGACAATCTCGAGAACAGAGACGTAAGGCAGGTAAATGTTTCTTGCCACAACTAAAATTGCTCTCTTGCATTATTTATATATTTATTTTTTGTTTGCTTTTTTGTTCAGGAGTTCCATGATTTTTCATTTATTTTTTGGTTTGGTGCTTATCTGATTGGGGGCAGGTTTGAGTTTCAGAGTGGTCATTCGGTGAGGGTTGGGTGGTTTGCATGAATGGATGAACATGTACACATACATGTATTAATGTGTCACTTTGAAGGTATTGGAACTTACTACTGGCCATAGGATAAGACTGATTCAGTGAGAATTTGTTATCCTTCATGGCAACTAAATTAAGGTTTAATAATTTTAGCTGGCAGTTTCAGTTGTCTCAGTGTTGAATCCAGTATTCCAGCAATTGTTGTTGCAGTGTTAAACTCACAACTGTTGGTGCTCTGTAAAATGTATTGGCTTTTTAGAAATGTTGAAGTTTCATTTTTTATTGTTTATATATATATATATATATATATATATATATTTATGATCTTTCCAAAACTATCATAATTTACGAAACACTTGACATAGGTCTACTACCCAATTGTATGAGCACTTAATATCAGAAGGTTTTCTTATTGTTCATTAATAGATGGAGCAAAGCCAATTTTTTTATGGTACTTGCATAGTTGTTAAAAGCGCACCTATGCTCCAAAAAAAACCCAGGTTTGTCAGCACTCAGCTAGAGCGCCTCAACCTAGTATAGGTCCTGCCCTTCAATCAGGCTCCAGGCTCATAAAGGGAGCGCCTTTTTTGTTTAACCTTACGAAATATTTGACAAAATTCATAAATTTATGGTTCACCACATACACTAGCTGCAGTTAGTACTTGATTTTGAATATATAAAAATAATATATGTTTTAATATGCAATATTATTACACACACGCCTGCCTTACTGAATATGCTCGCGCCTTGCGCTAGGCGGCCTTTGGCGCCTTAGTGCGCCTTGAGCCTTTACCAACTATGGGTATGTGATTATAATTTGTTGTATGCCAAAATTTATCATGATATGGCAACTATAACTCATATAGCCATACTGTCTTTTGACATGTGAGTACTCTTTTGAATTGGTGAATTTTCAGATATATGACTTATTATATAGTTCATCAAACGGAGTATCAAAAAGAAGTGTGATCTTACCGAATAAATTGTCTGATGATTCCTGGTAGGTGTTGAAAACAGTGCGGAAGGAGGTTCTAGATGGGTGTAAAGTTGTCTTCAGTCGGGTTTTTCCAACTAAATTCCAGGCTGAAAATCACCACCTATGGAAGATGGCAGAGCAGTTGGGAGCTACATGCACTACAGAAATCGATCCATCAGTGACGCACGTGGTGTCTACAGACAAAGGAACGGAGAAGTCCCGTTGGGCAGTGCAGGAGAAGAAGTTTCTTGTCCATCCAGGGTGGATAGAAGCTTCAAACTATTTATGGAAAAGACAACCCGAAGAGAATTTTCCTGTTAACCAGATTAAGAGCTAATGAGTTGGTTTCTATGTTTTTTTTTTTGCACAGAGGAGCCAATTTGCGGGGATCTTTATCACTTAATTCTTTTATTTTGACAATGTGATAGGTTAAAACTGATGACAACAAATAGAAATGTAGATGTAAATGGCAGTATACTTGTTTTGACCCATACTCAGCATGTATGACTTGCATCAGCTTGTAGTATTTTGAATTTCTGCTTTAAATGGTGGTTGCAAGGGATAAAAGATTATTCGTACACAAGTTTTATCTTTTGTTTATTATTATTGTTATTATATAGTTTTGCATGCTTATAGTTTTGCATTCAAACATCTTATAACAATGCGAATATCAAGTTGAACCATCTAAAACTCCTAACAGCCCTGCTTTTATTTCCTTCATCATGATAGCATTGCATTTATTTGATGTATAAATTTTAGAGAAAAATGTTTATTAGAATCTATCTGGAAGGAAAAAGGATGTTAAAGAGTTTGGTTCAAAATGCAGGTGTTTGAGAGGTAAAGATTGGTTCCTTTGATACACTCAAATCTCCTTGGCAATGGCTATTATTTTCTTTATTTTCAAATCCCTTTCTCCAGCTGTTGTTTGTGGTATTTTTCAAATATCTTTTTCCCAACGGTTGCATTAATTGATTGGTTTGAACAAGTGACAGATTAATCAAAATTCTTAATACCCTATTACAATTATGAAAAAAGCAAAATGGGACGGAATTTGATCACGTGAGGTGAATAATTTATGAGGAATTTTCAAGTTTTAGTTGGGGATTTGTATTGAAGTTTTACATGCTCAATGCTAGCCAGGACTAATTTAATGATTGATGTAGGAGAAATCATATTTAGTAACTTTTTATTGAAGAAGTTCAATCTATATCAGTTTTAGTTTCTTGCTAAGTACCATCCAAAGTAGAAGATAGCAAGTGTTTTTCTTGCCAAAAAAACAAGAAACCTGAATCTGTTTGAGTTAATGAATATTATCCATAAACTGACCTTACCAAGAATTTTATTTATTTATTTATTTTATGCTTGTGAGCTTTCATCTCTTCAATAGTATTGGTACCCAGTAATCAAAATATCCACCAACCCACCTTCGGTTGTGATTTAAGAAGATAGTATAACAAAACATTGTGTGCACGAATCTATTGATGTATAGAATGTGAGGTCGATCCACAAAGACTGATTAGGTCAAATTAAATCTAAAATTATTATTTAACTAATTCAATGAAAAATTTAGTGACTTGATCTAAAAGTCAAATTAAATATAAAATTAGTATTTAACTAATTCAACCAAAAATTGAGTGATCTGATCTAAAAAGACAATATAATTGATGAGAAGAAAAACTACAAAAATAAATATCACAGCGTTGATTCCACCACTAGGGTTTTCCAAAAGAAAACATAAATAGAAACAAATATATGTCAAACCTTCTTTGCATAATTGCTGTAACTTAGAGCCCAAATTTAATTGATTTGGAGTGTGATTTCCAGAATATTCATGAAATACAAGAATGTTGGGTCCACTTTGACACGCGATTTTCACTACTTAAACATCATAATTAGGGTTTCTTTGTGAAATATCAAAATAACCCTCTATGGATTAGCTTTCTGGGCTTGCATTAATTCGATATCTGAGTTGAGAGTTATAGCTCAAATAGTAAAGTATGCGTAGAAAGGTCTTAGACTTCATTAGTTGTTGGAATTGAGTTTTTTCCGACAAAAAAAAAAATTATAACCTAGAAAAATACAAAAACACAATAATAAAATAAAATAATACAAAATAAATAAATAACAAATATAATTTTAGAAATTAATTATGTATAAATTACGCACTTATTACTGTGTGAGACAATAATTGGCACCTATGTGAATGAATTTGACCGAAGCGGAACTATTTGGGCTCTAATGGAATTCGGCTCTAAACAAAAATTTTTTATATTTAATACACGGCATTATTACATTGGATGGACCACCCTTGCATGACAATTGACAGACACGTGAGTCAGCAAATGATAAAGAAAATAACAAAACAAACTGTGCAACTGCCAGCAAATCATGGGACCCAAATCAAACCCAGTCTGACCCAGAGGATACCTGTTAGTATACGTCTCTCTCTCTCTCTCTTGCTCAGCTTCGATGCGCTGTTAAACAAAAACCTTTTTTACGGTAAGAAAGATGATTTCATTGATTGAAAGGACAACGTAGTACATATATTCGCAGTCTACTAAGGCTGCCTCTTGAATCAAATCTAAGAATAACAAAACCAAACATTATATCACTCTTTCTTTTTCAAACCCAAATGACTCAATACATGTGAGCAATAAAATTAACTTTTTTACCAACCCAATTCAAGGATGTCCATTGAAGCTGGGAAAGCAGAAAACAATCTTCCCAAATCGCAGCGATGTAGTTTTGAGGACTCTTTGAATTCAAGGAGCACTTTACAATCACGCGATAATTAAATCAATAAAATCCAACTCCAAACTTCATCTAAGTGCTTTCCTTACAGCAGCAGCTTCAGCCATCAGAGCAGATGACATGTTTGGTAACAAAACCTCATTGTTTGATGACCATGAGTAGCGCCCATAATAACAAAAGTTGGGTCTTATTAGTCTCCGGGGCATATATGTAAAGCAAAATGACCCTACTAAATAATCCTAACATAATTACAAATTAAAATTTAGTTTTTATAGTTTTATGGGTAAAGTGCAATAAACCCTGAAGCCAATTGCACAAAACCTTTCTGAATTAACAAATGTCCTCTGAACTATTAAAAAGTTGCATTTAAGGACGTCAGGCAAGACTCTGGCACCGGAAAACCAAAATTACAAAATTACCCTCTACTTGAACGGTACCATTTTATAGAATACTGTTCATCTTCTCCAAATAATCAAAACGGACAGACACATATATATTTATACAGACACATACAAACACATATATATCTATATATACTCGTACAGACATATATTTCTTGAAAATTATTTCTTTGAATTCGAATCAAAACCCCAAATAATCGATCTCACAAGGCCAAAGTCGAAAATTTTGGACTTCAAATCGAATTCCGAGTTGAGATTCAACAATCGGGAAGTTGTATGACACAAATGCCGTCGTGGAAGGCGGCCGGAAAAGACAGAAAGACGTAGAAGCTCTGAGACTTTCGAGACCGCTGAGAAATTCTGCTAGGGTAACCCAACCTTCTTTTTATTTATTTATTTATTTTTTGGACAAGCCTTCCTTTTATTCACGCCACACACAGTGCAGAAAAGGAAGCCATTGAAGTCGGAGGAGATGGGTTTAGTGATGTGGTGTTATGGCGGCAACTACAGAGGTTGAGCTAGGGGGAGGAGATGGAACTGGCACAGTGGTTCGGGACGGCAGCGAATCAGCTTTAAAATCGACGACCACGAAAATCGGTGAGACCACGGCAAATCACAAATCCACAGTCCGACACTCACCATGGATGACGGCTAGTTCGGAACCCTATAGTGACACTATGATAGATGAGCCGACCATTACAAGAAAGAAATGTCAAGAACGAGATGGAGACGCGCACTGCCGGCTAGTTCGCAGCGATGACGGTGGCGGCTTCGGCGGAGACAACAGGTTCACAGCGGTGATGAGGTCGCGACGGCGATATTGAGAGAGAGAAGGTGGGCTGAGGATGTCGCGGTGGTGAAATTGAGAGAGAAGGTGGGTGAATTGGCGGCATCGCGGAGAGAGAGAGGAGGGGGAAACAAAAGTGGGCTAGGGTTTTTTTTTTTTAGAAAATTAGCATCAGCGGCCATAAGGACGCCGAACATCTCTATCACCAGCGACGATGAGGACGCGGACCTCCTCTAGCACCAGCGGCGATGAGGACTAGTGGCGATGAGGACCGCGACCACCTTTTTCTCAAATCCTTCCCTCACTGCACCGACGCCTGTGATTTTTTTAGGGCTTTAATTTGGAATTTTTTTATTTTTATTTTATACATTTAATAATATAAGGGTAGATTTGTCATTTTGAAAATATATTGCTAACGTGTATTCATCACGCGCCTAATTGCCGGAGAAATCAAACGAAATTTCGTTGGTGTGTAATTTTTGTAAAAAAATTGATAGTTTTAAGAGGTTTTAATTGTACAAAAAGTAGTTCGGAAAATTTTGAGAGAGAGAGAGAGAGAGAGGGAGAGAGAGAGTAAAGTCAGAGTTTTTTTTTTTTTTTTTTTTTGCGCTTTACCTTAGTTTTATATATATATATATAGATATATTTTGGTACATTGATGTGATGTTGATGTTGATGATAAGAGATTAGCACGAGCAGGATTGGGACTACACAATTACCAAAAGGGTAGTAAACAGAGCCCATGATTAAAAACCTACTAACTTCAATAATTCTCTCCATTAGTGTCCTTATACAAACAACACATGGCCTCAAAATCGCCACCCCTCCACAAAAAAACCGCCTTAACGATCGTACCCCCAATGCGGAAAACCGGTGTGGAGGACAAAATAGTAATAATACATTACGAAATCAAAATTTTCAAATAGCCCAGACGAGGCCCACGCATGTCACGTCCAAATGCAATTATACAGAAGATCCAAAAAGAGTCTGTTACCTCCACTCACGATATCGACTCGCTTCCTCAATAGACGAACCACAACCGTTGGATCATCGCTCTATTCGAAAAGGACAACATAGTAATTTACTAGTGAAACTGACTATAAATAGTGGAGCTCTTCTTCCATCGACCCTTGTTTCTGCAAACCCTAGAAACGAAGGAGGTTATTTATTTCTGCTTCAGTTCAGGGAATGCGGAAAAATGATGAGAGCTTCGCTGTCTAATCCTGACTCCGTTGGGAGGGCCAAAAAAGCCATCGCCGGCCGGAATTGCCACCGGAAACACGTGGAGGACGGGTGATTAATTCCTCCGCCTCTATTACTATTTGTAACTACTGTAAGTTTTTCCGTTTCCATTCTTCTCTCCTAATCCTATCAATATCAAATGACGAAAATCAGTGAGAAATGTAACGGCCATCACGTGCTTCATGGAAAGTACGAGCTCGGACGTCAATTAGGTCACGGCACGTTCGCCAAGGTGTATCATGCTCGCAACTTGAAGACGGGCAAGAACGTGGCGATGAAAGTGGTTGGGAAAGAGAAGGTGATTAAAGTTGGGATGATGGATCAAGTCAAGCGAGAAATATCGGTAATGAAGATGGTGAAGCATCCGAACATAGTGGAGCTTCACGAGGTCATGGCCAGCAAAACCAAGATCTACTTCGCCATGGAGCTCGTCCGCGGCGGCGAATTGTTCAGCAAGGTCGCCAACGGTCGCCTCCGCGAGGAAGTAGCGAGAAATTACTTCCAGCAGCTGATCTCCGCCATCGACTTCTGCCACAGCCGCGGCGTCTACCACCGCGATCTGAAGCCGGAGAACCTCTTATTGGACGACGATGAAAATCTTAAGGTCACCGATTTCGGACTCAGCGCGTTGTCGGTTCACCTAAGGCAGGACGGACTCTTGCACACTACATGTGGTACGCCGGCATACGTAGCGCCGGATGTGATCGGAAAGAAAGGATACGACGGAGCGAAGGCAGATATTTGGTCCTGCGGAGTCATTCTGTTTGTTCTCTTAGCTGGATTTTTACCGTTTCAGGATGATAACGTCGTTGCGATGTATCGAAAAATCCACAGAGGAGACTTCACGTGTCCGCCGTGGTTCTCGTCGGAAGCTCGAAGACTGATCACGAAAATGTTAGATCCGAATCCTGATACTCGGATTACGATAGCGAAAATCATGGATTCGTCATGGTTCAAGAAGTCGGTGCCAAAGTCTTTGATGACGAAAGAAGAGCATGAGTTCGAATGTGCAAGTGTTGTTGAAGATGGTGAAAAGAGGAAGGAAACAGAGACATTGAATGCGTTTCATATAATTTCATTATCGGAAGGGTTCGATTTGTCGCCAATGTTCGAGGAGAAGAAGAGGGAAGAGAAGGAGCATATGAGGTTCGCGACGATGAGACCGGCGAGCAGCGTGATATCGATACTGGAGGCGTTGGCCAAGGCGATGAAGTTCAGCGTCAAGAAGAGCGACTCCGTTGTGAGATTGCAGGGGCAAGAGAGCGGACGGAAGGGTAAGTTGGGGATCGAGGCGGACATCTTGGCCGTGACGCCGTCGTTTCTGGTGGTGGAGGTGAAGAAGTCGAGTGGTGACACTCTGGAGTACAATCGGTTCTGTAGCAAGGAGCTCCGACCGGCGCTCAAGGACATCGTCTGGACGTCGTCAACCGGAGACTCAACTACGCCTGCTTGAAAAGATCTGAAATTGGAGTTGAGTAATTGCTTTTTAGATTCAAAATAGAATCTGTGTTTTGTGATATGTTATTCTTGTGTGTGACGGTGTGTTTAGATTGTGAAATATGGAATGGTACTCGAATCAGAAATTGATTTGTTCGATGCAACTAATAACTTATTAATTGTGATTATGTTTGTTTGTGCTTAATGTTTAGTAGACATGTTTTTTAATTTTATTTTTAATTACTCGTAATAATTTTCTGAAAACAGATTCGGTTTTCGTTACCATCATTTGTCGTAAGAATTTTGTTTCATAGCTTTAAAAATCTGAGAGACAAATTGATGCAAACACGAAAGCAACATTGATTCTTAAGCCAAAATGTAAATATCTTATACGGTGCAAACGACATTCAATTCCATGGCACTTGAAAGCACTAGCCTGCCTCTGGATTTGACAGCGAAAATGGGACCACCCCAATACTAGCAAAAGTATCTACTATATAAGAAGGTCCAATTGTTTTAAGGTAGTCAATTGTGATGAATGCAATGGATCTGTCATATTTTGACCCATGTGATTAGTGGGGCCTACTTGGTTAGAGAAAGCTTAGCTCTTCTAACTCTTCCTTAAAAAGACAACACAATAGTAGTGACATTTTGGTCCAGTTGGTTTTGTTTGACGAAATCAGTTCTCAAAATTCTAAAAGGAATAGGGTTTCAGTCAACTATCAACCATAGAAAACAATATATTTATATATTATTCTTATTATTATTATTATTATTCATGTTTATCAAATAACAACATTTACCCCAGGATATTCATCTTCATTCTCTATCCACTTGGAGAATCTTGAGGTCGGTCACTTTTTGTGCTTGGGTTTTGTTTGTGACAACAATGGATAAGATTTTCATCATGTATCCACTTTTTTTCTCAATTATTGTACCTACAAATGGCCTAATATTTTGCACATCCCACTTTTCGAGGATTTAAACATAATCCAATATGACTAGAGTTAAAATTAGTTTCCCGTATCTGTATTTCGTGGTGCACAGAGGAAGGGAGAGCAATTTTTTTTTTTTTTTTTTTCTTTTCAAAAAGCAACAAATATAATTTTAGAAAGATCCGGTTACACCCTCTACATCAGCAATAATTACGTACTCTCTCCAATACAAATTAAAATCTCAATAATAAAAGGCCCCGTAATTAGCTAAATGGTGAGCACATTAGCTTCACGGGTCATAAAGCAAGCTGAGGAACCATCAATAGACATTGGCACAACAATCTACTTGTTCACGGTCACTATCCCTCTGGATATATATTCCTCTAATTTCTATTGGATCTTCTGGAGATATTCCTCTAATTTCTATTGGATGTTTGAATAATTAAGAATATAATAGGGAAAAAAAAACATTACTTGGTGAATTTAGATGCAACTTGACTTGTGATGACCTCTGTTGATGGGTTTGGTGTGGACAGGTGGGAGATATGGGACGAACTATTACATTGACATTGACAAGGTGTCATGATCTCATATTGCCTCAGAAGGTGAAATGTTCAACACCTTTTTACGACGGTTTTAAAACCACCATAAATCAATAAAACTACAACAACGCCAGTGAAAAAAAAGTTCAACTACTTTCAAAATGTTTCCTCCACAAAACACGAGAAAATTTTTAATTTTGCGTGATTGGAATGGAAGGATTTCTCTATAATTGGATTTGAGAAAGGTATTTTCTATGTTTGAAAAGTGAAATTTTAAGGGCCTGTTTACCAACGCTTTTATTTTCTTATTTTTGCTTTCTTCAAAAATAAAATTATGATTTTTATTTCTGAAGTTGAAATATTAAGTAGAATCATGTTCACTAATTTTTTATACTTTCAATATTTCCAAAGCAAGAAATTAGAAAGTAGAATTATGTTCACCACTTTTTTATGCTTTCAATATTTTCAAAGCAAGAAATTAAAAAGCATGTTTAATAATTATAATTTTTATTTTGTAGGTACAAAATTTCTTCAACCCTTCTCTCTCATTTCTTGCCCCAGTTGAACCCAATTCACTCTATCAGCATGGCCCTGCCCAACACCACACAAATATATACACACAAATGATTACAAACATGCACATATATACACATAACCTCTGTATATATAGGTGCCATCCTCTAGATTAATTGGATTCACTCCACCCACCTTTAGGCAAATGAAAATCCCATTTTATGGGCTCCTTACAATTGAACTATAGGAAGCCCCTTATTAGATCACTTAATCGATAAGGATTTCATTGACTTAGTTTGGTTGGTGCAAGATGTGATCCTGATGGTCATATAGAGAAAGTATAGAGAGAGATTGAGGCTACTGATATTCACCTCCTAGAGACCAGTAGATAGAGAAACTAGAAAGAGAAAGTGTTTCTGTCTTCTCTCTCCTCTCATCGGACGCGACTCTGAAGATGCAAGAAATTCATTCTCCTTTATCTCTCTAGAATTCTTACATTTCAATTGAAAAAATCCCCCTTCTTATACACCCGTAATGGTCTATTTATAGACCATTACAAATATTCTCACTAACTGATTACATTGGGCTCCTATTCAAGGGTTTTCTTCCTTTTGGGCCTGACTTTCCAATGGACTTGACCTTCCTCAGTGGATCCTCCAAGCTCAGCCCATTTCGTGATGCTTTTGCATGGGCCATACTTCAATTGTTCGACCCGATCCCATGCCAGCGAGCTATAACCGGCCCATGCCACTTACTGTATGCTCAATTGCCCCTATAATTACTCCCTATTGATTAGGGAGTAATTATTAGAGGCTGCTAATCATGACCTGACGGCTCGAGAAGATCGCATGGGAGAATGGATGGTTAGATTTGGGGGTTGGCGTTTCGAGATTCAAAAAACTCCTCGCTTTCCTGACTCCTCGGCCCTCGGGCCCACCTTGTCTTTATAAGCCTCATAGATGTTCCATCGATTCTCTTTACCGTCTCCATCTCACTTTCTGTTGTTCAAATCTTCTCCGGCGATTTCTTGCAAAAGATCCTCCTTTCAGCGACCTTGCAGTACTCTTTGCCGTTCTCACTTTTTGAGGTTAGTTTCATTTGCATTTTTCTTTCGGAAGACCTCTTTCTTTTCCTTAAAATCTTCATTCATTCTCACCATGACTGTAGATCTAGATGTTCTTCGCATGAAACTTCACCTCCCTGACGATATACAAATTAGAAATTGCCCTAGAGAGGTGAATATTAGAACCGGTGCTGGCCTTTTTCCCGGCGAGGTTCTGTTTTCACACCTTCATTTTAACCTCCTTAGGTTCCCTTTGCATCCTTTCTTTTGCTACGTTTTCAACAAACTGAAACTTTCCCCTTTACAAGTAAACCCAAATTTCCTTAGGATTTTGTCTGTTATGCTACTTCTGATCCGTGACAGAGGTCTAGATCTGGACCTCATAGATCTTCTCCTCTATTACAAGGTTAGCAAGATCAGAACTAATGAACCGTTTTACCACTTTTTCCCCATTGAGAAGAAGTCCATCTGCACAGATAAAATCAAATCCGAGAAGGGTTGGAGGAAAAATATAATTGGGGTTAGGGGAGCCTGGTTCCCTCCAGCTGCAGAGGATTTTCCTATCCCGAGCGCTTTTGGAGAGTGCTCTGTCTTTTCTTACAAGAAATACAAAATCCATAAAAGTGACTGTCCTTGCGAGATTTGCATTCCCCGTTTTTGTACTTTCTTGTGCCGTTCTTCGGCATTCCTTGTGATGATTTGAGCTACGGTGTGTGCAGGGATAGGGATAACTACCTGAAGCAGTACGTTTTGACCAACGTTCCCTCCTGCTCGGACTTCCTCACTTCAGATAACCTCCTTACTCTCTCAGCCCTCGACAAGACAATGAGTCAATTCCAGATCCCTTCCTTTGGCAAGAGGAAAACTGCCCCCAGGCCTGTTATCACCCCTGCAGTAAATTCTTCACCAGCTTCAGCATTTTCCTCTGCTACCCTTTCTGATACCACACCTTCCACCTATCCGACCGTGACGGCTACTGACCCGGTCTCCAACACAGCGACCGCCATTCCGAACGTGACCCCCACTGTCAGCAATCTTCCGGGCTCTACTATTGCTTCCGCACGGGAAAAGGCAAGAGGAAAAAGGCACTAGCTTGATAGTGCCCTCAGCGTTGATGATGTTCCTTTGTCACAGAGGGTTAGGCCCTCTGGGCCAAATGTGATATCTCTAGCAAGGCCTCCTCAGACTAGGCCCCCTACCCCTTCTGGGCATGCCTCTAGCTCAGGAATGGCACCATGGAACCCTCGCTTCATTCGAATAGACGGATCGTCTGTAAAACTGAACGAGACCATGTTCAAGGATGGTCAGACCGCTATGGCATACTACAGGAGCATGTGGACTCCCAAGGACATTGAGGTAGCCAAGGGTCTGTTTCAGAAGGAAGTGTTCAGCCGATTTCCCTTATCTGCCATGGAGGTAACTTCTGCCTCTTAGTCAATAAATCTTTATACAGTTTTTACACCTAATTTCTTCTAACCATCTGCTCGGCTTAACCAGTTGTCCTGTAGGATGATGGCTATGCAGAAGCAGGTTGAGCTTGTGAACGCCAAGGTTCGTACGCTCTCTGACAGCTTTAATGCAGCGAACAAGGAGAACGATGCTTTGGCTGCTCAGAAGACCGGGTTAATGGTTCAGCTTGGTAAGGTTGAAAAGGAGAGGGACTCGCTGAGAAAGGAGACCGACTCTCTTCAGGATGAGAAGAATGCATTGCAGCTCGAGAAGAACGTCTGGCATACCGAGCCGGAATCCCTTAAGGCTGAAAAGGAAGAACTGCTACGCCTTCTGAGTAATGAGCAATCCGTTCGGATGGCCTTTGAGAAAAGGGCTTTGGACAAGCGCAATGTTTTACTCGACACCATTAGTAGGGTGAATGGGGGTATGCTTGTTCTGCATGCTCGATTTTTCAGAGTTGGGGCCCTCAGATATGCTCAAGGGTTCCGAGAGGGTTATGCCGATCGTGTTCTGGGTGAGGTCAGACTGGTTCTACCCCTGATGATGTTGACAGGGAGCTGGGGATTGACCCTCCGGGTATTTATGCCGATCCAGACTCCACCGCTGCTGAGGGCATATTTGATGAGTGCCAAGAGATTGCCTCTTCCCGGATCACTCTTACTCCTTCTGCTGCTCTGACTTTGGACATTCTTCCTCTGTC